TTTTTTTTTTTTTTTACAGTACTAGGGATTGAACCAGGGCTTAGTGCATCTAGAAAGCTCTGTGCCACTGAGCCACACCCCCTCAGCCATTTTTATTTTATTTGGAGACAGGATTCCACTAAGTTGCCCAGCCTGGCCTTGAACTTGGCAATCCTCTTACCTCTGTCTACCAGGTACCAGGAGCTGGGATTAGAAGGCATGCAACTACCACTCCCAGCTTTATTTTGTTGCATTTTTTGTAGTCCTGGAGATTGAACCCAGGGAGTACTAATCTACATTCCCAGCCCTTTTTTTTTTTTTTGGTATCAGGAATCAAACTCAGGGCCTTATGCTTGCCAGGCAGGCCCTGCACTGCTGAGCTACATCCCTGGCCCACCCAGCTCTTTTATTTCCTTCTCAGACAGGGTCTTGCTAAGTTGTTCAAACAGAGCTTTAATTTGTGATCCTCCACTTCAGCCTGGGATTATAGGCGTGTACTACCATGCCTAGCCATGTCTGTCTGTCTGTCTGTCTGTCTGTGTGTCTATCTGTTGACTGTCTTTATAATTCTATCTTTTGTCTTTTAGTTGCCCAGCCTGGCCCTGAAAAAAAAAGTCTTTTTCTTCACTCATACCAGTTTTGCTTTTCTGGCATTCCTGTCACACAAATGGCTTAGCCCTCTCAGGATTTCTTTCTAAAACACAAGTTGCTGGAAGTGATTAGCCCTGTGAAAAAGTGTGCCTGTTAAAACAAGGCAGTAGGTAGGCATGGCGGTACATTCCTGCAGTTCCCGCACTCTGGGAGGCTGAAATCAGAACCAAGCCTAGGCAATTCCGCAAAACCCTGTCTTACAACAGTAAAGAAAGTTGGGGATGTAGCTCAGTGCGAAGAGCCCAGTTCCCCAACTCCCAATCCCCAGGACTAGAAAACAACAAAAACAAAAACAAAAAATTAATAGAATGACATAAACAGTAATGTGATGGATTTTAGACCCATTTCAAATTTTAACTCTGTTCCTTTCAACTAGACACCATGTGGCCAGGCATGATGGTGCACGCCTATAATCCTAGCACTCAGGAGGCAGAGGCAGGAGGATCACTGTGAGTTTGAGGCCAGGCTGGGCTACATAATGAGAACCTGTCTCAAAAAGAAAAAGCTAGACACTCTACAGGGAATATTATTAGATGATTTGAAATACACTTGAAGCTTGAGATTGCAGGGTCTGTGTAGTTCAGGCTGGCTTTGAGCTCACTTTGTAGCCCAGGGTGGCCTCGAACTTGCAACGATCCTCCTGCCTCAGCCTCCTGAGTGCTGGGATTACAGGCAAGTGCCACTAGGCCCAGCTGAGATTGTCTTTTGACAAAGTTACCATCTTGAGATTTTTCTCATAGATGGTTTAGCTTCTTGTTGTAAATATTTTCATGCTAAAATTAAAAATAGAAAACAGCCAGATATGATGAGGATTGCAAGTTCAAGGCCATTCAGGGATACATACATGTTCAAAGTCAGCCTGAACTACCTAATGACACCCTGTGTCAAAAAACAAAAACAAAGTAGAAACTATACCAAGATGAACTCAGTATATGTTAATGACTATCAGTTCTTTCATCTATGGAATGCTTTGCCTAAGTCCCATGGACTTTTATTACCTGTAGGATACTGGGGGGCATTTGATCTTAGATTCTGTATTTTTTTTAAAGTACATTCTTTTAACTAATATTTGAGTTATATGTGAGACTCCTGTTATCTTGTTAAGACATGATAGCAATAGTGAAGGACAGCTTGTGACTATCTTAGAATTCACTTTTTTGCTCTCTTGGATAAGCCTTAATATTATTAAAATTTCTTTATTTCTTCAGGATGGATCTTCTCCTGAACTCCCAAGTCTTGAGAGAAAAAATAAAAGAAGGAAAATTAAGGGAAAGAAAGGTATGATACAGAATATTCTAGCAGAAAGTTGTTGTTCTTGTAGCACAGCTTGTGGTCATGAAAACACCAATCATCCATTTATTATTTAGTGGACAATATTGTCTTGCTAAAGAGTAGAGCAAAGTTTCATTTCCTCCTACACCCAGTAATAGCTAGAAAGGACATGTGACCTGGAAGCTAAGGCTGCATATCTTAGTATGAACCTTGAAAGTCTCATTGGACCTTCCCCTTGGAATGAAAAGAAACAGTTGATTTATTAAAAACATTATCTGTCTTGGTCATTGATAGCCATTTCCTTTTTTGGTTTTTGGCATCTTGGTTGCTTTGCTAATACAGATTAAGGAGAGACATTATGTTATCATTACTTCCCTACTGATGGGTTTCAGTGACTCTTGCTTTCCTTGAAGGAAGTAATGGGTGAGTTTTGGGTGAGTAGATAGGATAGATAAGGGAGAGTTCATGGAGAACTCTAGTTTCTGGCTGAGGCAACCAGGTAAATGATGATACCATTTATATAGCCAGAAAACTCCGTGATGGGAGCAGATGGAGGGTGGAGCAAGATTGAGTTCCTTTTGGATCCTTTCACCAAGTGGACCTTTGAGATACTCACTAGGGTATTACAGTTAACAGTTGTATATGTGGATCTGGTGTTTAGGGAAGAGGTCTTGGCATACTGAGTTAGTAACAAACATAACGATGATAAATACACATAATAGAGCATTTTAAATTAGTGAAATGTGGCATATCATGATATTGTGAAATACAGTTTTGGTTGTCTTCTATTTTTTAAATTTTATTTTAAAGAGAAAAAAACCCCAGAATTTCAAAACAAGATAATAGGAGAGTAACAATGGCTAGTACATTGCATATTTTTAATCTTTAAATTAGTTACTGAGAGTACAAGATTTAGGCATTTAATTGTCCAAACAATGTTAGCACAAACCTTTTCGATGAACAAGAAAAAATAGTAGTATAACTATCTTAACTATCTCATATTCATATATATATATTATATATATATATTTTGCATTTCCCTTCCTTTCTTCTTTTCCCCATCCCAGTTTCTCTTTCCTTTTGAACAGTTTTTTCCCATTTCACAATATCTGTTGTACATTTTGGATCTTATTTACTCTTTCAGCCTCTCACACTAGGGAGACAATACAATGTTTACACATGTGAGTCTGATGTATTTCACTTATGAGTGTGGTCTCAAGTTACGTCCATTTACCTATAAGCGTCTCCCATTTACCCTTCTTTATAGCTGAGTAGTACTCCATTGCATAAAAAATTGGTCTTCATTCTGTTTACTGGCATACAACTTTAAAATCCTCAGAAGCTCCAAAGTGAGTCTTTTTATATGTTAATGAACTGACTCTGACTTCCCAGCTGACTGACCCTCCTAGCTTCAAGATAAAGTTGGTTATCTGAAAAACTAACACAGAATTTAAGGGTTAGGACTCTCAGTCTCACCCTTTAACTTCCAGAGATGGGAGGAGTTGAAGGTTAAATGAATCACTGGTGTCCAAAGATTTAATCATTCCTGTCTATATAATGAAGTCTCCATAAAAACTCCAAAAGACAGGGTTTGAAGCTCATCAGCTCGCTGAGCACGTGGAGGTTCCTGGAGCACGGCATCTCTGGAGGGCATGGACACTCCACGTTGCTTTCCATATACCTTGCGCTATGCATCTCTTCATCTGTGTCCTTTATAATAAACTAGTAAATATAAACGTTTTCTTATGTCATCCATGCTAGCAGATTAACCAAACTTGAGGAGTGGTTGTGAGAACCTTAATTTACACCCATCAGAAGCACAAATAAAACAATTTGGGGTTTGCAGCTGTCCTGAAATATGAGGTTAATCTTGTGGTCTGAGTCCTAAACTTGTGGGATCTGATGCTATCTTCAGGTAAATAGTGTTGGAGTGATTTGGAGGGCATACAGCTGGTGTCCACTGCAGAACTGATTGCTTTCTTGACACATCTTGCTTTATACATCTGGTGTCATAAGCATCTGTGTTGTAAGTGTGTGGTAGGAGAAACGGACCGTTTGGGTTTCTGCTGACACAATATCGAAGTTGTATTTTCTTTAGGAAGCCTTTTCCAGTAAAGAAAATGAAGCTACCAGAAGAAAACACAGAGGAAATACATCAGAACACAGGAATAGGCAAGGATTTTTTGGATAAGACCCCCAAAGCAAGCCAGGCATGGTGGTGCATGCCTGTAATCCCAGCACTTGGAAAGCTGATGTGGAAGGATCGAGTTTGAGGCCAGCCTGGGTTACATAGTGAGTTCAAGGCCAGCCTGAACTATATAGTGAGACCCTATTAAAAAAAAAAAAAAGACCTCCAAAGCAAGATTGATAAATGGGACTACATCAAACTAAAAAGCCTCTGTATATGTATCAAAGACACAATCAGAGAAAAAGACAATCTAACACATGGTGAAAACATCTACAAACTATATATGTGACAAATGTTTCATGTTCAGAATATGTAAGGAACTAAAAAATAATTAGTTAAAAAAAAACAAGTAATCTGACTAAAGGAAATTATTTAAAGTTAGCTGACAGACTAGAGGAATATGGCTTGGAAGGAGAGTGCAAGTAGTCTAGATCTGGGACCAGTCTGAGCAAGTCTTGAGTGAAGTGGATGGTAGGTAATGGAAGTGTGGGAGGTGAAACTTAGAAGAGCTGATGTGCCTAGACAGAGAGTTCCCTTGGAGAGGTAAAGGTGGGAGCTGGGGGTTGGGTCAGACAGCACATCTTTGGTTTCTAGCTTTGATATCAGTTTTATTTATACATGTATGTATGTATTTATTTGTGTGTGTGTGTATGTATGTATTTTTTATTTATTTATGACAAGGTCTTGCTGTGTAGCCCAGGCTGGCCTCAAACTCAAAATCCTCCTGCCTCTGCTGATGTCATTAGTCCTGACCATATGTTTTGTGAGATTTATTGAGTTTCCAGTGACACTGAGAAAATAAAGACTAATCCTAAGTCATTTATGAACTTCAGTCTTCGGAGTAGTCCTATGATTGTAGGGAAATCTCTAGCATTAAGCTTGGACTTATGATCTTTCAGCAGAACGATCTCAGGTTGACCAGCTGCTGAATATCTCCTTAAGAGAGGAAGAACTAAGCAAATCCCTGCAGTGCATGGATAACAACCTTCTGCAAGCCCGGGCAGCCCTGCAGACTGCATACATTGAAGTTCAGAGGCTACTTGTGCTCAAGCAGCAGGTAACAGGATATGAATGGTTTAATGACAACAGATCATCTCAGGGTTGGATTTCAGTATGCTTAACCACGTACTTTGTTTTTAGATAACTATGGAGATGAGTGCACTGAGGACCCATAGGATACAGATTCTGCAGGGATTGCAAGGTATCCAGAGTGTGTCTGATGAACTTGAACCCCAACCCTGAACTTACTGCTTTTGGTTGTCTATAGAGAAGGAAAAGGAGTCATGAAGGGATCATGTAATTCTTCTCATGTCTTTGTTTCATCCTTCTGTAAAAACCCTGTAGCCTACACAACCCAGAACTACACAACTGTTGTTCTATTTAGGTTTGGGTTAGGAATCCAAAGGCCTGTGTACAAATCTTGGCTCTTTTTTAGTATAACTAATGGTAACTTTGTGTCACTTACTTAAAATTTTGAAAAATTGAAATGTTGATGCCAGTTCTAGCTGTACCCTTGGTAATCATTCTGTTTTGAATTATGAAGATGTACACTAATATATTTATTAATTTAAAATTCTTATCTAGTCTTTAAAATGCAAATTGGCTCAGAAAAAAACTGACTTCACAGGTAGCATTTTTGCATTTGTGTGTATTTATCTCCCATTCTAGAAACGTATGAACCTTCTGAGCACCCAGACCAGGCTGCCTATAACCTCACCCGAGAACAGAAGAACAACAGGTCTCAGTCATCTGCTGATCCCACACTGCTGCCTGCTCCACTTTTCCCAGCTTTTCTGGAGCCATCTCCTTCCCATGTGTGCCCATCACCTACTGGAGCCCCTTTCCACGTAGCCACATCTGCTGCATTCCAAGCCCATGGCAGTATCCCTGCTCCAGACTCCTCAGTTCAGGTTAAACAAGAGCCCATGTCTCCCGAACAGCCCGAGAATGTGAATACCATGTCAGAAGGTTCTGCTTGCAGTGTGCCCAAGGAGTTATTGCAAGCTAATAGTAAGTAAGCTTTCTTCTGGGTTAAAGTCATCTCTAGTAAATTAGGACAATTGCATATCAGTCTGTAAAGCCATACTTGCTAATTAAAACTAAAGTCATTACCATTAATTTTTCATTGAAAGGCCCTTCACATGGGAGGGTTTTTGTTCTTGTTGTTGTTTTAAGACAGGGTCTTGCTATGTAGCTTGGACTGGCCTTGAACTCACTGTAGAGCCCGCCTGCCTTGAACTCATGGTGATCCTTCCACTTCATCCTCCCAAGTACTGGGATTACAAATGTGCGCCACCATGCCTAGCTGGGAGGGTTATTTTAAAATATTTCAGAACGTAACTTAAATGTCAGAGACTTTTCCCCAAGTTTTTCTAAGGTTATTGAGTTGATTTTGCATTAACACCTAAAAGGCTACCTTTATTAAAGAGGGTGTAGACTTATAGGGCCTTTGTGATAAATAGGCTAAAGTTGTTCAGGCAGTTTTCTTTTCTTTTCTTTTTTTTTTTTGGTACTGGGAATCGAACTCAGGACCTTGTGCATGCCAGGCAGGCGCTTGTGCTGCTGAGCTATATCCCTGGCCCAGGCAGTTTTCTAGTTAAGATACATGCCCAAATTTCTCAGCACTTAACTGTCTTTTATCTCAAATACAAGCCAGGACTGATACAAGCCTGGGAGGTAGGTAGCCATGATAAAGAAGGGCACAGAGTTCTGGGGTTTGAAGTCATTTAACAAGAACTTGGGTAGTTTTGGGCAGTAGAGTGGTTTTTTTAAAAAACTTTTTACTCCTCATAAAATAACACCTGATTAGCATTTGAGAGTAACTTCTTAGATATTTAAAATACTATTAGAAGTTTTTGTAATCATATGGTGTCATATTAGCTGGGCAGCCTCTCTGGGAGGCTGAGGCAGGAGGGTTGCCTGGACAATTTAGTGGCTTAATGAGACCCTATCTCAAAATAAAAAAGTAAAACAAGGACTAGAATTATAGCTCAGTATAAAGGCCTTGGGTTCAATTCTCAGTATGTACACATACATATGCGCGCGTGTGTGCACACACACACACACACACACACACATACACACACAGTGCTATAATGAAAGTTAAGTTAAAAAAGCAAACTGGCTTTATATGATTTCTTGAGGGGAAACAAAAAATCTGAAAAATTAGTTTAGTTTTTTTTTTTGGTTTTTTTGATACAGGGTCTCACCATGCAGTTTAAGCTGACCCTGAACTCACTATGTAGCCCAGGCTGGCCTTGGAAACTCATGGCAATCCTCCTGTCTCAGCCTCCCGAGTGCTGGGATTGTAGGTATGTGCCACCACGCCTGGCTAATTAGTTTAGTTTTTGCTACCAGTACTCTGTTGATGCAGTGCTAATTAACATATTAATATCAAATATCCTTTTTTTTTCCCTTTGTGGTATTGGTTATCAATCCCAGGGGTGCTCTGCCACTGAACTACATCCCTACCCCTTTTTACAATTTTATTCTGAGACAGAGTCTCATTAAATAGCTCAAGCTGGGCTTGAATTTTCGATCCTCTTGCCTCAGCTTCTCAGTGTGCTAGTATTACAGGTGTGGACCAACATTGAAGGAGCTTTTGTAGGGACTAATAAATATCTGTATTGAGATTAATACAGGAAAAGGAATGTAAGTTATGGGAAACTGAAAAGTGAGTTAACAGCTAGCTGTGACAGTCATAGTTTTGTGAGCATATTATTGAGACATTATTTGGTAATTTGCAGTTCATGGCTATGATAGCAAACATACTCAAAAAAGGTGAATAAGCTGTGCAGGGTGGTACATACCTGTAATCCTAGCCCTCTAGGAAGCTGAGGCAGAAGGACTACAGGTTTGAGCCCATCCTGGCCAACTTAGTGACTTGGCAAGACCCTGTCTCAAAAAAAAAACATAAAAAAAGGCTGGGGGCCAGGCAGGGTGGTGCACACCTATAATCCCAGCACTTGAGAGGCTGAGGCAGGAGAATCTTGGTGAGTTTCAGGCGAGCCTGGCCTATATAGGGGCTCCTATTTTAAAGAAACAAAAAAGGAATCGGGGTGTAACTTGATGTGAATCCCCTGGGTTCAATGCCTAGTACTGAAGAAAGAAAGAAAAAAAAAAGATGCAATGGTTTGTTTTGTTTTCAATTCAGGAGAAATCGGTGACAGTCATCTAATTAATTCAGGCCTTATGGCAACAGAAAGTTGCCAGGAGCCTAACCAAGATCTGAAGTTTTCTGTGGAGCAAGGAAATAGCAGAAGCAGAGAAAACTCTCCCTTTTCCCAATCAACTGATCTTCCTGGCATAAATAAAGAAGGGGAAGAACCAGCCCAAGGCAACAGTGGGTCTGAGGCCTGTAGCAGTTCTTTTCTAAGATTATCTTTTGCTTCAGAAACCCCTGTGGAGAAGGAACCTCCCTCTCCCACTGAGGAACCTGAGCAACAGGCAGAATCTACTCTGACATCCCTTGAAACCAGAGGAAACAAAAAAAAGAAGAAACTTCGGAAGAAAAAAACACTACGGGCAGCCCATGTTCCTGAGAATAGTGACACTGAGCAGGATGTATTTACTGCTAAACCTGTAAGGAAAGTAAAGATGGGCAAGTTACCTAAAGGTGGGAAAGTGACCACCTCTACCTGGGAAGACAGCAGAACGAGTCGGGAACAGGAGAGTGTCCGAGATGAGCCGGAAAGCGACTCCTCTCTGGAAGTCCTAGAAGTTCCTCATCCTCAGTTAGAAGTAGTAGCCATTGATTCTTCTGAATCTGGGGAAGAAAAACCAGATAGCCCCTCCAAAAAAGATATTTGGGGCACTGCAGAGCAAAACCCAGCAGAAACTTCCCGTTCTGGTTGTGATGAAGTCACCTCCACCAGTGAGATTGTCACTCACAACAAGGACGGTGTCCTTGTAAGGTAAGGTGTTGTTGTATTGGGCCAATCAGAACAACTTTTATCAGGCTTTTTTTAAAAAAATAAATTTTTGTCATAAATCAATTTTTCTACTTCTTCTTTTGTCTGTGTTGTAAATATTCACTGGTTTTGTTTCTCTTTATAGAAAATTATTTCAGATATATCATTACTGCTTTGCCCATTGTTTAGAAAAATCCTTTGAATTAGAAAGTTTTTAGTTTTGCTCCGTGTACTGTTCTCATAGACTTTTGCTATTACTTTGTAGTGTGGCAGAAACTCAGACTGTGATCAGCTCCCTAAAAGGCTCAAAGAACTCCTCAGGTATTTGTTGCTTTGTTTTGTTTAAATTAACCACAGACAAAAAAGCTTTGTAAATTTAGAGCCTGCATTTTAGTACTGAATATGTTTACAGAATAGGAGAGTGGGGAGGGGCTGCACGGAGAACATTGCCCAGCGCAGCACTAGATCTTCACTCCTGACATCTTCGAGTTTCTGCTGCCAGTCTCCTGTCTGGCTCCTTTGTCTTGTTTTTCTTCTCAGTGCTAGCATTTCATTGGCTCCAGGAGTTTTTGCTTTGAGAAAAAACTGCTTGATGAATAATGCCTTACTCAGAGAAAAGCTGTTTGGAATTATGGGAGATAGTGTGGAGCGAGATTAGCTACCTTCCAAGTATCACTCAGAAGCTCATGCTAGAAAGACCTTTTTCCTAAGTGAAAGGTCTTCTCTGCCTTTCCTTATTGTAGAATCTTCATAGCGAAGTTCTTTAATAAAGGCTGTGATATTCTGCTAGTAAAATTAGGCTTTAAGGAGAATTTTTCTTTTTAAATTTAATTCAGGGATCACTATGTGGTATAAAGGTTTTGAGTATCTTTTCAGGGGACATGGCTCTGATACTTCTTCTTTTCTAGAAATATCTTCAGAGCCAGGCGATGATGATGAGCCCACAGAAGGAAGCTTTGAAGGGCACCAAGCTGCAGTGAATGCAATTCAAATATTTGGAAATTTACTATATACCTGTTCAGGAGATAAAACTGTCCGAGTATATAATCTGGTGGTAAGTACATGTAATATTTTCAGTGTTTTTGGTTGCAGGTTTTAGAAAATCTTACTTGCCAGGCATGTGGCACACACTTGTAATCCCAGCACTGGGGAGGCTGAGGTAGGAGGATCCCTGCAAATTTGAGGCCAGACTGAACTATGTGGCGAGACCTTGTCTCAAAAAAGCCAAAAAAAAAAAAAGGAAAGAAAAGAAAATTCACTCATACTCTCTTAAATGATAAAGGAATTTCCAGGGGCCTTAGGGTGATTTTAGAAGCAGTAGATCTAGCACATCAGCAGGTGTGTAATTTCTTTCTCTCAACTCTGCCTTCTCTGATAGCATCTTTTCCCAAAAGGTAGTTCCCTGTCAGGTACTTCTGAGGTTTGTTCTTCCTCTTACCAGAAAAAGTCCTGTGCTTTTCTTCTTGAATAGTCACCTGAGACAGATGGAACGGAATTACACCAATAGGTTTTGGGCTAATGAGGTCCCAACTACGTACCAGAGGAATGAATGCTGGGGAAGTATGAGAGGGAACATTTTCACCCTCACCCTTGATAAATTACAGAATCCAAGTTCTTAAGGAGATGCATACTTTTCCACTGCCTCATACTTCCCATGACCTGATATTCATTTCTCAAAAGAATGAACTTTTTAGGGGCCAGGGAGATAGCTCAGTGGTATAAGTGCCTGCCTAGCAAGCGCAAGGTCCTGGGTTCAATTCCCCCGTACCAAAAAAGAATGAACTTTTAAGTTTTGAATGTAATACTTTGGTTGTGAACAATGATAGCCAGGAAACTTTAGTATCATTATTTTCTGAAAGGCACTGTGAAAGTAAGTACATTACTGAAGTCAGTGAACACTACAGAGCAGGAAGATGTGTTCGCTGTAGGCAAGTAACGGTATTCCTTCAGTCTAGTGATAAGATAAATGTCCAGATCACTGAAGAAGCAATGACACAGGGAAGTGTAAGTATAAGATCCAGGGCACTGGGTCTAACTTTAAATTGCAGGAGATGTGTATGAGTATGTGCGTGGCTGTATGAGTATGTATGTGCATGTACATTCTGAGTAGATCTTGGTATGGACACAGAGGTAACGTTTAAGATATTCCCTTAAGCAACCGCACCTGGACCACAAGGGCCTGTGACAGCATCTGACAGTTTTTAATATTGTGGAACATTCTTTTAAACTAAAGATCAAATATACAACTTTTCTGGGTAATTAGCTACACTTTAGATTTGTAAGATCCTTGGTCTGTATGTTAGAGAACCTTGCCCAAGGCATTAAAATTCTGAGTTAGGCAGGGTGGCACATACTTCTAATCCCAGAACTCTGGGAAGTTGAGGCAGGAGGATGGCAAGTTTAAGCCCAGCCTGGACAACTTAGTGAGACCCTGTATGTCAAAATAAAAAAAAAGAGAAAAGGGCTGGGGGTTGTAGTTTAATATAGAAAGCTCTGGGTTCAAGCCCTAGTATAGCTGGAAAAAAAGTCTGGCCTGTGTTACAGTGAATCATTATTTTTTAGTACAGATCAGCTGACATAGAGGTACCTCAGAACATGGAACTATTCACTGATCAGTGAACAGATATTTCTTTGACACTTTCTGTGTACCAGACACTATTGTAGGCATTGAAAACACAGCAGTGAAGTAAAAGTTTTGCATTATTTTGTTGAGTTGAAGAAATGCCTTATCTAATCCTTCCACATCTTTCAAGTAATAATCTGATCTGTGTTTGACTTTAGAGTCGGAAATGTATTGGTGTCTTTGAGGGCCATTCTTCCAAAGTGAACTGCCTCCTGGTTACTCAGACCTCTGAGAAGACTGCTGCACTCTACACGGGTGCCAGTGATCACACCATTCGCTGCTACAGTATTAAGGTAAGTGGGCCCAGAGAAATCAGAAGAGAAGGGTGGAGAATGGAGAATGGGATACTCCATTCTATCAACTTGCGTCTCTTGTTTTGCTTCTAAACCTGTTTTTGCACATTGATAAACCTTAGGTCTGTTACCTTAAACAGAAACCACATTTTCTGTCTCTCTCCACCAGTGTGTATTTATTTTCTACTATTAATAGTATACTTCCCTTGGTTTTTCCGCATTAATTTTTATTTTTACATCATATGTTCACTTGCCAAAATTAACCCTAAATAGAATAAAAAACAAACTGTTGAAGTTTGTTTAAATCTGCAGAATTGGGCTGGGGATTTAGCTCAGCGGCAAAGCGCCTGCCTGGCAAGCGCAAAGTCGTGAGTTCCGTTCCCGGTACCGGAGAAAAACCAAAAAAAAAAAAAAAAAAAAAAAAAAAATCAGAATTACAGGTGAATATCTCCTGTTGAGAGTTTTTGAAACCTAAATACATTGAAAGAAATGAGAGAAAATTGCATTAACAATTAAATACAATAAATGCAGGAGTAGCTCAGTGATAGACCATTGGCCAAGACAACTATATCTGGGGATATAACACAGCAAGAAGACCCTGGTTTCATTCCCTAGTACAGGAAAAAACAAAAAAAGCTTCCTGGGTAACTGTGGTCCAGTTGAAGAACCATAGTTGAGGGAGGTATTTGGGAGCTAATAAAGTAAAGAAGTGATTGGAGGAAAGCACTTTCGATTAATGTATGTATCAAACATACACCTGTAATCCCCATTTTCCTTTAAAAGTTTTTTTTTAACTTATATAAAACTATCATTAAAAAACTACATCATATATTTTCTTTCACCCAAGACAATTCATTTTTTCAAATACTGCCTTATCTCTGATCTTCGTCCCCTTAAGACAGTAAGATAGTGCCTTTGAAAAGTGTCTGTATTCATAATTAGAAACATAGGTATCATTATTAGAATTTTTTTTCGTTTTTAGCCAGAGCCAGGAGTCTCTGGCCTCCTGTTTTAAAGCAGGAAGAGATCTAAGATCTCTACAAAAAAGTATGCCAGGTTTTTTTTCCTTATTAGAGTCATTTTAAACTGCTTTCAGGAGAATTCTTGTCTTTTTTTCCCCTCCTTTGGTACCGGAAATCAAATTTAGGACCTTCTGCTTGCCAGGCAGGTGCTTGTGCCGTTGAGCTATATCCCCCAGAGGAGAATTCTTCTCATATTTCACTTGCCACTACTATCTGCTCACTAGGTGTTGTTTCCTTTTGTTAGACCCGAATATGCTTAGAGGAGTTAAAGCTGGAAGACCGGGTTCTCTGTCTCCATAGTCGATGGCGAATCCTGTATGTAGGACTAGCAAATGGCACTGTGGTCACCTTCAACACAAAGGTCAGTGGTCAGGGCAGAGAAGACTGAACTCCCTTTCTACTTGGAAATGAGGAGGGGTAGGGGCAGTCAGGCATTTGTATGTGCTTGTGTGAGGAAATAACAGAACTGTTCCTGAGAAATTTTACCTTCTGATATAAACGAAACAACGTCCTCCATCCTGTCTGCTTAGACTCACATGTGCCAGACCAATGTAAATTTGGGATCAAATAACACATCACAGGTTAAATCAGCCTGTCTTATTTTAAGAATGACACTATTGCTGGATGTGGTGGCGCACGCCTGTAATCCCAGCATTCTGGAGGCTGAGGCAGGAGGATCACTGTGAGTTCCAGGCATCCTGGGCTACAAAGTGAGTTCAAGGTCAGCCTGAACTGCATAGTGAGATCCTGTCTCAAAAAGATGTTGGGAAAAAAAATGACATCATGAAAAAAGAAGCTGAATTCCTTCATAACACATTGGTATGGTTGGGAACTGATGTACAGTTAATGAGATGGCTTGTTCTGTAAGGTAAGTCAGATTTGCTTTGAGGCCCATGTGACCCTTCCTAACCAAAGGTAATTCATTTGTTTCAGTAAAACTTTATTGAACATCTGTTATGTGCTAGGCCCCAGGGTAAGTTAGGAAGTTCTTGATGCCTTATGTTTTGCTAAGATAGTTTGACTTCCTCTTGACATGTTAACCAGAGGGAGCATATATGTGTTGTGTCTATTTGTATTTTAGAAACAATTGCTATAGAGTTGACGAAATTGGGAAAGATTAGTGTTAGTGGAAGCTGGGAGATCATTTAAGAAGCTTTGTAATGGAAGCTGACATGAAAGGTTACACTAAGGATAAAGGGAAGGAAGTAGATGAAAGATGTAATCTCAGGAGAAATGGATAATAGCCAACATATCCTCTGGTCATCTTCTAATAGTATGTTAGAATGTTTTCTGTTACAGTGTCACGTATATATTGCATGTAGCTAGAACTACTGTAAGAGATGCAATAAAATTATCTGCCTTTATAAAAAAGTGCAGTTTGAAGACTACCACAGCTGGGTGTAATGGTGCAAGCCTATAATCTCAGCACTTGGGAGGCAGAGGCAGGAGAATTGCTGAGTTAAAGGCCAGCCTGGACTGTGTAGCAAGATCCTGTTTCAAAAAAACCAAAAAAAATTATAAAGGATAAAAACTTGCTAATTACTTAATTCTCTTCTCTTTTATAAGATTATTATCAAAGGTAGAGAGAAATTACAAGCGAGATATTTGAGGAAAGACAATCACAAAATTTTAGTTAATTTACTTTTTGAGGTGGGGTCTCACTTTGTAGTTCAGACTAGCCTTGAACTCACTATGTAGCCTACACTGGCCTCAAACTCAAAATGATCCTACTGCCTCAGCCTTCTGAGTGCTGGGATTATAGGTGTGTGCTACCACATGAGGCCTAAATATTTTAAATGGAAGAGTTTTGGTTAACGAACTGAAAAAGATGACAGTTGTTTGTTTGTTTGAGATAGCATCTCATTACATGGTTCAGGCTGGCCTTGAACTTACCATGTAGCCCAGGCTGGTCTCAAACGTGGAGCTGTCCTGCCTCAGCCTCCTGAGTTCTGGAATTGTAGCCATGCACTACCATGGCCAGTTTAGAGGCAATTATAAGCATCTTTTTATAGACATGAATTTTGAAGATTGGGGCTAGGTTCTATCTTTTATTATCGTAAAGGGAAGGGGAAAAGAGCATAAAAAGAAAACTGTTCATTAGGATCAGGATAGTATGTAGGTTGAAGTACAAAATAGTTTATTATGAGCCAGGGTTGGTGGCACATGCCTATAATTCCAGCTATTCTAGAGACTGAGGCAGGAGGATTATAAATTTGAGACCCACCTAGGCAAATTAAATGAGACCCTGTCTCAAAATAGAAAAATAAAAAGGCTGGGGATGGTGCTTATTACTCCCTGGGTTCAATCCAGGGAATACTAAAAATTTATTGTTTATGAATTTGCCCTTTTTAGATCAGGGTAGAAAGGAGGTCATGATCATAGCAAGAGCATTGGAGCGGAAGCAGCAAGGGTTGGGAAGTTAAGAATTTGGAATGGGTATGAGAAAATTCCAGTCTTATCCAAAAAATTTTTTTTTCTGAAACCTCATCAAAAATTTTAATGGAGCTGGGTGTGGTGGCACATGTCTGTAGTCCTAACACTCTGGAGGCAGAGGCAAGAGGATCATTGTGAGTTCAAGGCCAGCCTGAGCTACACAGTGAGAGGACCAGTGATGGAGCTGAGAGTTTCTTATAATTTTAGTTAGTTGGTTTTGAGCTTTTCTAGCCCCATTGCTTTTGCTTTATATAATGATGGCTTATTTTTCAGAACAACAAACAACTCGAGATTTTTGAATGCCACGGGCCGAGGGCCGTCAGCTGTCTTGCCACAGCTCAAGAAGGTTCCCGAAAGCTGCTGGTTGTGGGATCTTATGACTGTACCATTAGTGTGCGGGATGCTCGGAACGGACTGCTCCTCAGAACCCTGGAGAGCCATACCAAGACCATTCTGTGCATGAAGGCAAGTATAGTGTAGCAACAGGAGGGGTCTGTGCTAGTGGAAGGGTGTTGAGTGGTATTTCCCATTACTCAGCTCACAGACGTCTTGAAAAGATTATTAATGCCTGGGTCACCAAGTAGCATGCTGCTCTTTAATATATTAGCCGAGAAACAGTTAAGAGTATGTTTTATTGTAGAAGGTCAATACAACTCTGATGCCTTTCTGATAATTCTGGGAAGGTAACATCATGAATCCATCAGCTTGCCTAGTGGTGGGGTGTAAGTATCAGTAGAGAAAATTGGACTGGGAAACATTATTTTATACATAGTTCATGCCCACCTTGAAATAGTATGAAAATTAGAATCTGCTAGTTTGTATTACAAGTTACAGCAAACTGAGACCTTGTGTAGAATCTAATGAACTCAATTGTTTCATTGAAGGTGGTGAATGACCTTGTGTTCAGTGGCTCCAGTGATCAGTCCGTCCATGCTCACAATATTCATGTAAGCTGTGTTGCTGTAGTGCAAGGAAATCTCTGATAAGATATTGGTTCACACTTAAAAGCTTCTCAGACTTCTTGCAATTTAAATTAAGCCTTTTATCCAGTTAAAGGATTAATGCTGATCCCTGTGCATATGCTCTTGGATTAAACAACCTGAAAATTCTCACCTCATCAAAAAAAATTTTTTTCTGAAACCTCATCAAAAACTTTAATGGGGCTGGGCATGGTGGCACATATCTGTAATCCTAGCACTTGGGAGGCTGAGGCAGGAGAATCATTGTGAGTTCAAGGTTGGCTTGGGCTACATAGTGAGTTCAAAGCCAGCCTGAACGACATAGACCCTGTCCCTGTCTCAGAACCCCCTGCCAATTGTTTTAAAAATGGGGAACAGACTCAAAGCTCATGCAGGATTTTGTTTGAATGCCTCATTTAAATTGAGATAAATTGAGCAGCTGAGGCTCTCAGAAAGTGGACATGATATGGAGTTTAAAATAGAACAAATAAAAACAGCTGAGATTCTATACTTAGATCATAAAGGCAGCTCTCTGAAACTCAGTTCCTGGTCTGTAATCCAGAGCATAATCCCACCTAAGGAACTCGTCAAGGTCAGGGTCTATGGAATAGTAAAAGCAAAAGTACGGGTTGACCATCCCTCATCTGAATTCTTGGGAACCAGAAGTATTTCAGATTTTAGACTTTTGTAGATTTGGGGATATTTGCATATACATGAGTTAGCTTGGGGGTGGGATCCAACTCTAAACACAAAATTTATTTGTTTCATTTACACATAGCCCAAAAATAATTTTATATTTTTAATGTGCCTGTGTTTTGACTGGTCTGTCAAAAGAAGTCAGATGTGGAATTTTCCATTTGTAGTACAAGTCTCCTCTCAAAATGTTTTGGATTTTAGAGCATTTTGAGTTTCATATTTTTGTTTGTTTGTTTTTGTTTTTCTTCTGTTACCAGGAATTGAACTCACGACGTTGCACTGGTGAGGCAGGCTCTGTACCGCTGAGCTAAATCCCCAGCCCCGAGTTTCATATTTTTGGATTAGGGTTGCTCTGCCTGTACTTCAGGAGCTATAAAATACAAAGAGTTGTGGCCCTTACTTTTTGGTAACATTAGACTCTTTCTGTGAGGATGTATTTCCTGTACATTGGATAGGTAACAGATGCTTGGGAGCTCTTTAGTTATTTTTGCAGGTAGCCTCAGAATTATGCCTCTTGGAATCATAGAATTATAGAAACCTCAGAAATAGAAAGAAAAATAGGAAGGAATCTTGCGTAAAGTCTAGTGATTCTTAACTCTTTTTCTGATGTAGACTGGTGAGCTTGTGCGGATCTATAAAGGTCACAATCATGCAGTGACTGTGGTGAATATCCTAGGAAAAGTGATGGTGACTGCTTGCCTGGATAAATTTGTTCGTGTCTATGAATTGCAGGTAGGATTTAGATCCAGTGTTTTTTCTAAATGATTTGGGGAGATTGTTTGTCTGGGATTGGTGTTGGGCTTTGGTATGACAAGGCAGGGTTGGAGCACAAGAATACATTTTCACAAGCACACTAGATAGCTACAGAATGGGCCTGAGGGCCACCCTTTAGAGACACTGTGCTAAAGTGCATGGGATCAAACTCATGGATGTCAGACTCCGCTAAACGGTTTCTGGAGAGCAACCTGGCCTCTTAAAATAGTGCAGTTCTCCTGTGTGCATTTTCATGTTTGAGACTGATCCTAAAGAAACCAGTTCCTCTATTTCTAATTACCACCTCCCCTCTTAAGTGGGATTTAAGAATGACTGATGCCTGGTACAGTAGCGCACATCTATAATCTCAGCAGAGGAGGAGGCTGAGGCCAACAGATTGCAAATTCAAGGCTATTCTTGGGCAACTTAGACACTATCTCAAAGAAGGGCTGGGGATATAACTCAGGGGTAGAACATTTGCCTAGCATGTGCCAGTCATTGGGTTTAATCCCCAGTATGGTGGGTGGGTGGGGAGGTTGGGACAATGACAACTATCGTTAAATTGTATCTCTGTTAGAATATCGCTAGTACTTCATGTTAGTGCCTGAGGTGCAGTTTTAAACCTCCCAGAGGCCTGAAGGGATTGCTTTTTAAGCACAAGGTTTAAGTAACCTTAAGTTATTTTTCTATTTTTTTTCTTTTGCCTAAGTCTCATGATCGACTGCAAGTTTATGGAGGACACAAAGACATGATTATGTGTATGACCATCCATAAAAGCATGGTGAGCATTATTTGCCATATGAGACGTTTGCCTTTGAATATATTAACTTGGAAATCTACATACTGATGTTACTACTTGTGACCTCTCAAAGTGACTTCTGTTTCTGATACATACCTCAGTATTGAATGCCTTTTTACTCAGCATAATTGTGAGGAGTAACTCAGGGACATTGTTGAATATTTCATTTCTATTAATAGTGAAAATAATTACAGTGAATAATGTAATGCCATCATTACATAGAAGATACGTATAAAATGCTTCAAAAAATTGTGTGGTACTGTTTCCAGAGGCCTTATGCTCTGAATAGAACATTGGACTCAGGAGATTTGACCAGCCTGGCAGAGTTATAGCAGACCTAAAAGTAGATCCTGCTAAGTCTTGGTTGATTTTATTTTTAAATTATGAGGTGGAATCAGGATGGATGTTTTTAAACTTGGTGTAGTAGAAGCTTTTCTTGCAGTGAAATTCAGATGCCTGATGCACAACACCAGTTAGAAGCCAGAGCTCCCTAGTTAAACAGTAGGTACTCCCCTGGGTGGGCCGATGTTGCTCAAGACACAGTTCTAAGAAGACTATAAGAGGCACAGCTTCCAAGTGTCCAGATGCTGAGATTTATAAACTACTTCCCCGTTCTAATACTGTGCGGCTGGTTTTGCTTTAGGTTAGTGTTTCCTTTAACTCTTGGTTTGAGGGTGTTGTGTAGTTGTTTCTTTGTGTGCATTTTGGTCTGATATTATAACTTCTTTCTCCAGATCTACACTGGCTGTTATGATGGCAGTATTCGGGCTGTGAGGCTAAATCTGATGCAGAATTACCGCTGTTGGGTAAGCAGTGAAACTGTTCACCAGATTTAGTATATGTGCTGCCAAATTGAGCGCTCTTGTCACCAGATATAGGAAATGCTCAGGCTACTTCATAGATACTCAGCAGCAGCGTAACATTTTTGTATTTGAGCATCTAACTATAAGCCTTTCACTGTAGGTTAAAGAAGTTTTTATACTTGAAATGTCTATCAAGGGGCTGGGGATTTAGCTCAGCAGCACAGCGCCTGCCAGGCAAGTGCAAGGTCGTGAGTTCGGTTCCTGGTACCGGAAAAAAAACAAACAAATGTCTATCATAAGATTAGACATGAGGTCTACTTAAATATTGTCTTCTTGGGTTGTGTCCTAGGTGGTTTTTGTTTTGTTCTGCTTGTTACAAAAAAATGCATGCTTAAAAATAATCAGCCATCGGCGAAATACTTGAAAATAAAAAAGAGTTGCTTATTTTTATAAAACTTGTCCTTCCAGCCACACGCAGTTTTCAGGGATTGCAAGTGTTTTGTGGACTGTTTATGTCTTCATTGGTTTCTGAGGAATAAGCAAGTAAAAGTTTTATAGTCTCTAATTTACAAACCTAGCAGGTTTACACACTTGTAATCCCAGCACTTGGGGAGGCTGAGATGAGGACTGCAAGCTCAGCCTTAGCAACTTATAGACTATCTCAACATAAAAAGTAAAAAAAGGACTAGGACATAGCTCAGTGCGAAAGCCCTGGGTTCAATCACTAGTACTGCAGAAAGTAAAACAGTAAGAGCTGGGGCCAACCCTGTGTTCAATCCACAATACTGGGGGAAAAGAGTTACAAGCTTTGGTCCATTGAACTGAGTGGTGTGATTTCTGTGGTTTCTGTTTTGGGGCAGAACCTGATGATTAACCCTTAAAACTTCACTATTCTTTACAAGTCTTAATTTAAAAAAAAAAAAAAAAAAAATCAACTTAACAACAGTAGTGACCAAAGAAAAGTTCGTAGCACTGAATTTCTTTTCCCCAGTCCTAATCTCCTTTTCAGCATTGATGGAGTGAACTTGACACTTGTTTTAATTTGGTTTTAGATGTCTCCACAGCCTAATTATTTTCAGCTTTTTTCTATATTATTGTCTTTGCTTTTTAGTATTATCAGGGAAGGCAAACAAAATCTAGCACAAGATCTCTAGAGCACTGGAGTGTTTACCTTTTGATTTCAAAGGAAGCAGATGCAATGGTCTGACAGAGGAGAAACTCAAATTTGCATTATTTTTAGAAATAAAACCAAAACAAAGCAACAAAAAGAAGAAATAAACAAGTTAGAATCACAAGATTTATTATAAACAAGCCTGTAAGGAAGAAACCAAGACGAAGCATGCTTATGTTCTCTGACTACTATGTGAAATTGAGTCATATTTAAAAGTAAAAATTTTACATTAAAATTTAGAAAAGGGTTATAACAAGATTCAAGTGATAAAGATTGTGAGAGAAGTCAGGTTTGCCAGGCAAACATAATTTCTACAACAAATATTTCCACAAATGTCATTTTATTTATCAGATTTTTTTGGGGGGTACTGGGAATCGAACTCAGGACCTTGCACTTGCCAGGCAGGCCTTTATGCCACTGAGCTATATCCCTGGGCTCAATATTTTTGTCTTCAAGTTTATAAGTAAATAGTTCTCAGAGTTGTTAAATATGCCCTTTTAGTATTATAGGAAAGCTGTTTGTCTTTTATAATGTATGGACTAAGATAGACATTCAAATTTTATCATAGCAAGATAACAAATGTAGTTTAAACTGAATATGGTAGTTCATCTATAAATATCTATTACCCTTTTCGTTATTTAACAAGTATAATGGCTACCTAAGTGCTTTGCCTTCTCAAAACACTAGCATGTCAAGTGGCTTTAGTCTTTTAAAGGTTCCCCATTATATTGATATTTAATTTGGTTGCCTCTGGTTTTGTTATATATTGTAGCCAAGAATGAATGAAAGAATAAGGGGCTTACTTTTTGCTTTACAGTATTTATGGGATAAAAGCAAGGAATATTCTGATCGCATGTTTACTGTTCTCTTTTTGAGCTTTGTTTTTTACTGAACTCTTCATCTGCTCCCCTCATTCTCTTTCTTTACAGTGGCATGGTTGCTCTCTGATATTTGGTGTTGTAGATCATTTAAAGCAACATTTGCTGACTGACCACACTAATCCAAACTTTCAGACTCTGAAGTGTCGCTGGAAGAACTGTGATGCTTTTTTCACAGCTAGGAAAGGATCCAAGCAGGTACATCAGTGGAGCTCATGGTTCCCCTGGGCTTTGGTGGCCTCCCCAGAACAGAGGCCAGCGGATCATTTTTGCTTTATGAGAGTGTTCAGGATTAAAATAAACAAGGCCCAGAGATTTTTTGTTTTACTATTCAGTGACTTGGGGGATTTTTCAGTGAGGAAGAGCCTAGGGAAAGTACTTTCAGATGTTTCAAATCTTGTAGCTGATTCCAGTGTTTGGCGCTAAGAACTCATCTTAAAGAGCACAGTTTCATGTAAATTAGTGGAGTGCTGGCTTCTAACTGCATTTATGTGCAGATACTAAGTAGAATAGACCCATCTGGCTTTTAATGGCTTTGATTTCCTCCTGTCTTACTACCAGCTGTCTCATGGCCCTTCTTCCTTTTCCCTAGGATGCTGCAGAACACATTGAACGACATGCTGAAGATGAGAGCAAAATTCATGCATGAAGTTTTTTACCTCCCATGTTGGGAAGTCATTAGCTGAACTGTTTTCCTATCAGCCCCTCACATAGGCCACTGTCTTCCTTCCGCCAGGAAGTAGGGAAGGAGAAAGTAGCTACCTGCCAGGCTGACCACTAGCATATGTCTGGGGAGCTCTATGGGATGGTAGGCTACACTTCAAGATTTTGCTGGAGTGTTTAAAACAGCCAGTTTCCGACAGCCTTTAAAGAACCATATGGTATGACATAGGGAGATTTATGTTACCAGCGTTCTCCAGATGTTCACTAAAGATCCAGATCTCAATTGGTTGCCCAGGTTGACCCCTAGTCATATGTGTATTTTACTGATACCAGTTTTTTTTTTTTAGTTTATGTTCTCAATGATGGTTTAAACCTATAGTCAGGTTTTTAAGTACAAGTTTGTTCAAACTGCTAAATTTTCAAGATCAGTTTTAATTTCTCTAGTTGGAATAACTAGGTATTTAAATTGGAAGCAAATAGTTTCCTTTCTTAACAATTATGTACAGTGTGTTTCACTGTTCATCCACTTTGCTGAAGGCCAGAGAAGGCTTTAAATGCTAAAGGAGGGGCCGAAGACATAGCTCAGTGGCACAGCGGCTGCCTGGCAAGCATAAGGTCCTGAGCTCCATTCCCAGTAACCACCCCCACAAAAAAACCTAAAGGACACACAGACTTTTGCTAAGCAGCTAGAGTGGCTGCTCCACTCACTGTATATTTTAGGAATTTAGAAAACAAGTCCCACAGTGGTGATTCGTTACCGACAGCATTTCCTGGTGAACGTCTGTGTTCAATGTGAGGCAATGTACAGCCCATCACTTGCCTTTCAGTCTTGCTGCTAGACCTGGGTGCTCGTGCTGCAGTGTTGTCAGGCTGTTTGCACTGAGATGTACCTTCATGTTCCTCTCCAGGCTCTGGAAAACCTCGTGTGGGTCTGAACCTTTTGGTTTGCTCCATTGTCCGCCCCGTCTCCCTATGTCTAGTTGTGCCTGGACCAAGGCAGCCATCAAGGATTGCTCCAGACTCACAGGTGCTCTCTGCCCGTCTGCAGCACCCAGGATGGGAAAATTAGAATAAAGTGTCTGGGTATGGTTTTTAGGGTCTCCAGTAGGCTTCCTGGAGACTCATTTCTGAAGCCAGTGTCTTTGCCTTCACTTCCCCAGTAGCTGGAAGAGGAAAGTGGAGTATGGTAGAGGGAAAGCCTCTGCCTGTCCATTGCAAATACCCAAGCCAACAAAACCTGAGTAGGACTGCTTTGTTTTTAGAATTCTCTGGACTCTTATTTGTAAAGCTATACAAGTATCTTTCTAACCTTTTTGTTTCTGGAATCCCAAAGCTCAGATTTCTTCATATAAGGAAGAAGAACCCATGCCACATTCTGAGCTTCTGGATGTGACACCTAATGTTTTGTCAGATTGCATCTGGGCTATTCCACCCTACCAGTGCGCACACACATCTGCGTGTCTTCCTTTAGGCTCTAGGACAGCGACTTCACCTAGGGTTCCTAGATAGGCTGCAGGAGGTTCTGCGAGCCCCAGAAGTATATACTGTACAAGATGATGTGTGTGTGTGTTTTTTTTTCCAGAAAAGGCTCCAGTGGTTCTGACTGGAGCCAGAACTAATTTAAGAGCTACTACCAGATAATGGCTGGCCTCACAACCTATTAATTCTGTCCTTTTGAGTGTCCTCTTTTGTTAACCACACTGTTTAGATTTGCATGAGCTGAAGGGAGAACAGAGCTCTTGTAGATAAAGTAATTGTGCAGTTTCTGTGTGTAAGGTTAACAGTCTTTCCCCACCTCTCACCCCTGTATCCTGCAAGGGTGGCCACAGAAGCCACGTTATTCTGTGGGTTTGGGAATAATGATTGCCCAGGAAAGTCCATTTGGATTCATTGCTAACCGTGGCATTTTTCTTTGGGCTGCAGTGACACATTTCCATGTGAATAGGGTGGTGTGTTCTCAGAGCCTGAACCAGGAACAGCATGGTGCCTTTGTACAGGAGGAAGGGGAACGTGAGGTGTCAGACAGTCATGGGAACTTCTGAGGGCGTTACAGGCTGATGGAGTTAGTAAGAACTGAATTGTGATTGGATTCCACTTGGTAGAATTGTGTGCATGTATCTGCCTGTTTGCATGTGTGAAAGTCCCTGTCTGTGTGTATATACTTGTGGGCACCTATATTTGATATCTTTCCTCATCTCACAAAGTTGTCTTTGAAGCAGTGGCAGTAATATATTCTTTCCAAGGACATGTAGAATTCTTCTTAATACCAGATTAATGAGTTATTCTTAATAAACCATGTTAGCCCTCTGTTGAGAAATAAAGGAACCATAAGTGTCTTGGCTGCTGTGGTTGTGCTGCTATCCCTAGTGGCGCAACTTTGACTGCCTTCTAGTCTCACGGCACCGTTACAGTCATGGCCTCTCTTTCCCCTCACAGAGGAGCTATGGCTCAGGCACCTGTGCTGACACTGGCGGGTAGCAGCCTCACGAACGAAGGAGACTGTTCGGTGACTGACGAAAGCTGGCACATTGGAGGCCATTTTTTAGAATTTTTTGGTTTACGCCTGTTTCAGTATCTCAAAACCAAGAGAACCATAGAATAAATCCTCTTGTGTGTATATGCTAGTGTTTTTAATGGTCCTTTGTTCTGTTAAAGCATTAGTTACTTCAAGTTTTATGCAAAAGTTTTTAATTAGGTTCAAAATATATTTTGGCATACTTCTACTCAGTTATAAGACAAATACAATGCAAAAGAAGAGCAGAGAATTTTCTTACCCTGTTGTTACTTGAGTTTGAGAAGAAGTTGTTTCTTACTGCTCCTCCTCTTGTGAGGAGAAGTTTTCTCCCTCAGAAGAGTTAGTGATTGAATGTTTAGCTAGTGGCTTACATATCATTTAAAGGCGCAACTGTTGCTTTTTAAGTATTTGCCTAACAAAGGTTTTGTTCTGTCAAGTTTTTCAGGTAGATTATACAGTGGACAACTAGTGATGAGGTATGTGGCTGATTTGGTGAGAGTAGGTGTACACTTAGAAGAATGATTGGTATTTTAGGGAATGGAATTGATTGGAGGTCGAAGTGTATTGTGATGTGGGATTTGAATAGCACATATTCTCTGGTTTGCTCTAATAAGTGCAGTTTCCATATGCTGACTTACAAATTCTGTTCTTGTCACCTAAAGGAGAGCTCCTAGGATTATTATGAAAGGCATACCTGCCACATTTATAAGATGGTGGCTTCATCCTTGTACTACATCATTAGGATCCTTGGTGTTTAAGAGTAGTAGTCAGGGGCTGGGGATATAGCTCAGTGGCGCAATGCCTGCCTGGCAAGTATGAGGTCCTGAGTTCAATTCCCAGTACCAAAAAAAAAAAAAAAAGTTGTAGTCAGATAAGGAAAAGCTATTCTGGAGGAGATTAGGGCTATACTGAGTTCCACATGCAAGTGAGTTGCAGTCCTCATATAAACCAAACCCACTACTTATCAGACAGTAACCTCTACCTTTCCCTCCATCCTCAAATATGCAGTCTTGCCAGATCTTTCCCAGATTTGCTCTAAATTCAAGTTAGTAGCCTGCATAATTGGAGCCGGGGGAGGGTGGGGTCAAGAAGGAAAAACTGTTGAAAATCTTTCTTCTGTTAAAGAAAAATGTATGCCCTAAGCTGCTACAATACCCTTGATTTCTGATTTTTTTTAAACATTGACTATGGTTTAGAAGAAGAACAAGGTTAGATGACACTTGACTGCAAAAAATGTTTATAAGCAAATAGCCTAGCCTTCTTACATTTTGGTATAAAGTTGTGAACTTCATAACTTTGTAAAGCAAGATATAAAGCAAATACAAGGGGAAAATAAAGTACTTTACTAATGACTTTTTACTTGTATAATCTTGTCTGCATGTTCACAGTCAGCCCATTTTTTTCCATGTTGGCATAGAGAATGTGAAGGGACCTGGGTGGGAAACACAAGATGCTTATAGATGGACTGCAGGCCGTGGTCCAGATAAGCTCGACAACAGGTCAGTCAGCAGACAAGCTGTGACGGAGAAACGGCATCACTGCTCCATTACCCCAGCTCGCTCCCCCTAGTCACAGGCCACCCATTTATTCTCCACACCAACAACTATCCCACCGTCTTCCTTATCTTGGAAAGTATCTGAGTGATTCCTGTGCCCAAGGAATAATAATAGGTATGTTTTAACAGGGACTTGAGGGCTTATTTTTGTCTGTGAATTTTTGTTTTATTCAGGAATCAGGGCTTTCTGCAGATGATAGGTGAATATTGCCTGGAAGGCTGTGGTCATGCTCTGTGCTGTCTAAATGTGAGGGGAAAAAAAAGAAAAAAGAAAACAGTGGAACCAGCCATACACATGCTTTTATTTAGATCAACTCTTTTCAGAATGCAGCCAAACTTGTGAGTCAGAAACCCAAAGTGTACCCAGTTCTATACCACTGAGTTAGTGTAGCCCAGAGCAGGCCACACTGAAGCAGGCAGATCCAAGAAGTTTGGTTACTCCCACGGTGAGGAGAGCAGAGGGTGAGGGCAGCTCCCACATGAGTGAGCGCCCAGCCATTGGCATGTGCTTCTGCAAACAGCCTAGTGCAAGCTAAGGCTGCTCAGAATCAGCAGACCTCCTGGTGAGGCCATGCACCACTGAGGCAGACACTTGCCTTCATGTGGCAAAGGGAAAAAATGGTTCTCCCAAGGGTCAGGCTGGTCATAATAGATGAAGACAGTGTGGACCAAAGTGGAGGAGGAACAAGACCAAGGAGGTGCCTGGAGGCCTGGGGTTACAGCTACTGGGTCCTTTGAGGTAAGTGGCTCTAGCTATACTGGGTAGACTGAATCCTGAGAGGTCCTGCGTGACCTGGGATGAGGCCAGCCGGGTTCAGGCGTACATGGTGAGCTGCAGCCACTGAGAGAGGAAGTCCCAAGGTCAGAGGGTAGACAAGAAAAGAGAAACCTTTGTTTTCAGGCTCTAATGGAATAGAGTATTTTCAAAGGACCTGTGGTTTATTGCAGATGTTTCCCCGTATCTTTCCAAGAAAGGTGTGGGAGCTGAGACCCCTTTGGATCCCTCCCTGCACCTGTCTGAGAGCCACATTCCCTGCCTGCCTTCCCTCCCTTTGTGCTCCCTTCCTGTCCCATGCCTCCCTCAGTGTTTGGAAGTGAGAAGCCACAGTGGGTCCTGTTGGCCTCATTAGTTCTTCTACCTTGAATTGCATGGTGCAGGGAAAGGGCCTAGTATGTTTTACCTCTAGAACGTTGAGTTTGATGATCCCATCTCCATCTTTGTCAAATGCATTGAAAGCTCCTGGGGAAAGAACACAGACCAGAGTCCCGTTACAAGCTCACTCTCCCTTTGTTGTTGGAACTTGTAAGGGGACAGTGCCTGCAGACAGTATCATCAGTAACCCTCCCGTGGATGGTCGGGTGGAGATTTCTATTGCTTCAGCTGTCCCTGTGGGGAGGCACTGGCCCACTTACTGAACATGCCCTCCAGCCTGACAAAGCAGCAGATAAAGCTGTCAAAGTCGATGTTCATGTGTCTGTCTGCATACCGCATGGTGATGATGTTGTAGAGCTGGCTGTTGAGATGGAAGCCTGTGGAGGGGCCAGGCAAGAGGAGGGAGAGTTGAAGTCTTCACACCTATATTCTGTTTCCCTGCCCCGTGGCCACCCTGGCTTTAAGGGAAGGAGTCCCCTCCTTTCTCCAGAAGGGCCCCGGCAGCCTGGCCCCCCTTTCCTCCCACCACCTGCATCGTTCACAGCATTGCGCATCTCGTGGCTGTTGATGGTGCCGGACTGGTCTGTGTCATAATGTTTGAAGATTTTCTGGCAATAGAGAATTTGGGGACACAAGTCACACGCTGAATCCCTGAATCAACCCCACCTTCATTGCCACACCGCACTCTCATCCCACCTGCCAGGCCTTGATCTTCTTCCACAGGTGATGGAACTCTTGTAGGTTCAGCCTCCCCGAGCCATCTGTCTGAGGAGGGAGGTCAGGTCTACAGGCACATAGCAGAGTCCCCCCGGGACAGGGAGGGGTGGCCCATAGGAAGCCTCTGCCTGTGCTCCCTACCCACTGTTGTATCCTCAGCCCTCCCCTCCACTTCCACCAGTCAAAGTTCCACAGCTCAGTGACCCATGGAGTCTGTCTCTAAGGACCCCTCTGGCTTGGAAGAATCCCAGGCAGAGCCTTAGGCCTGAGGTAGGAGTTGGAGATAGAGGCCAGATACAATTCGTATCTTTCCCTTCTGCCCCTTTCATACTGGCATCTGGTGCTCTGAGTCAGGATCTCTTTCTCCTTGGATACAGATTTGGGCCTTCTGGCTGACTGGACACCCCTATTGTGTCCCTGGCCAGAGATTTGGAAGGAGATGGCAGGAAGGATACATCCATGAGGGCAATCATGCTACGGCAGGACTCCAGCGTGAAACCTTGTGTCTTCAGGTCCTTGTCTGTGGGATGGAGAAGAGTGAGGGGCTGCCGTCAGACAGCTGGGCCCCCTGCCCATCCCCCCATGTGATTCGAGTTGCTCACGTTTGTTCACAACAGCATTAAGGACGTTCTTGAGCTCGTCTGCAGAGATCTCCATGTCCTCAGGAGGAAGAGGAAAGTCATGGTTCAGAGGAGAGCAGCTAAGGAGCAGAGGCTTTGCAAAGCAAGTCCCAGCTGTCCACATTTGTAACATCCTTGTTGGTGCTGTCCTAGAAGGGAAGCTGGGGCTTTCCCGAGGAAGGCAGAGGCGCAGCTACTGCACCCTCGGCTGTCCGGCCTGCAGTGGGCAGTCACAGCCACCTAGCAGGTGTGTCAGTCAGGAGCTCAAGGGCCTGGGGATTTTGTGCTGTGCGGAACAGAAGCGGGCTCCTGTGGGATCCCAGGGTTGGAGGTACTTACATCACCTGCTATCTGCTTGAAGATGTTGTGAAATTGCTGCTGTTCCTCGCTTTCATGGTCAGTGTTGCCAGGCCGTGGCTGTGGGAGCACAAAGGAAAGTTGGTTCACAGGAGTCAGGGATGAATGAATTGGGAGGAAAGCTCCCGGAAAGGTGCCAGGGCACCCAAAACAGCTGCAGGTGGCCGCAGGAGCCAGCATCGAGCTGATGAATGCTCTTTGCGGTCCAACCTGGTGAGCTGGAGTGAGAATCGAGCCCTCAGTAGCTCTTCACATCTCGCCAGTCCTGACACCTCATGCGTGAGCCATACCGACATGCAGACATCACGCCCTCGGTCCTCCCCAGCCAGAGCCTTCACTCTTTTGACCCTGATCGTTCCACCCAGCGGCCCCACAGTTCAAAGGGGGCTGAGTGTTCTGCTTCCTCTAGCACCTGTGTTATCACTCCACTGAGGGGCCGCCCGGGACAGAGGAGCCCTGAGCCTCACATTCTCTAAGCTGTGTGTGTCCATGCTTTCCCACTCCGGTATAAATTTTCCTCCGAGTCTAGAGAAGCCTGTTTCTGACATCAGTCCCCCTTTGCTTCTACTGTCCTTTCCCACTCTTGTCACAAGCTCAAGGACTGAGGACGGCTGTGCAGGCTCAGCTCTCTCCAGCTGTTCTCTCAGCCTTTGCCAACACCGTCTCTCGCTGTCCTGGCTGGTTGGGCTCCAGTGGGGGAGGCTCAACCCGTCTTTTCAGTGTAGGACAGTTTGGTGTGGCAGCCAGTCCGCAAGATGTGCACCCAGGCAGCAGGCCAAGTTTAGGGGAACTTATGAGATAAAGGGTCAGTGAGACAGATCCAAACCCTGCGTGTTAGAGACCCTCCCTGGCAACCCCTCCGCCTCCACATACCCAGGAGCAAAATGGCCCCTGGGTGCACAGTGCTAGCCCCTCAGTCATGCCACATGCTCAGAAACCTGTGGGGATTTCTCCTGTTTATCGGGGCTTGCTTTGTCTTTGCCCTCTGACTCCTGGTCCACACCCAGCTCCTTGTTGCTGTTTGCTCTGTCTGAAACGAAGATGATGGGCTGGAGAGAGGGGGGAGGTGGGGAGGGGCGGGAAGGAAGCAAGGGTTATGGGCTGGGTGGCGCATTGAGGCCCTGCCCCCAGCAGCTTAGTGAGAAGAAAAACTTCAGTTCAAGCTCCAGCTCTGCTGCTAGCTAACAAGGTGTGTAACTGCGTAAAGAGGAAGCCTCTCTGGGCCTTAGTCCTTTGTCTTTTGATACCCACCCCAGCTGTCCTCAAGGTAGAGTTATATGGGTGCCATCAAGTAGCACATCCAGAAGTGCTGAGACTGCTAAAAGCAGAATGATCTTGGGCTGTGGTTTTAAAATATTCCATAGATTTTTTTTTCAAATGGAAATAATTTCAGATTAAATTCTCCAAGAAGTTCAGCATAAATAAAGCCGTTATGAACAGAGATTCTTGGATGGAGGCAAGCAGAGCTCTTTGCCCCTGGTACCCACACATCGCAGCAACCAACGAATCTCCAGGGAGACACAGTGAGACTGAGAAAAGACTGATGAGTGGCAAGATCCATGTTTGGTCACAACACTGACCAGCCCAGCCCTTGAGGGAGAAATGTCTTCCCTAGCCCCGGCTGCTCAGCCATTAAGGGCATGATAAAACTTGCTTTTTCCTCCGGTGGTGGGGGTCAAATGAGATGCTGAATGTAAATTTGTACTGAAAAAAGCATTGAAAGTGCTACACAGATAGAAGGGATATTTTCAAGATACACATGCAAGAGGAACAGGGTTGGGAGATGTTACGCCAGCTGGTGGGCTGTGCACCCCATAGCAGGAGGAAGGCATCACTTGGGTTTGGAAGCTGCTGTGCAGAGAACCATGGGGTAAGCAGTCTCCAAGCAGACTAAAGGAGGCCCCAGGGTCTTTCCATGCTGCTTGTCGATGCCAGGTCAGGTGGGAAGGCCTATGAAAATAGCTCCGCCACTCCTGGCGCCCAGCAGGCCCCCAAAGCTCTTGCTCTGCCTTCTAAGCAAAGGTCTTGCCCGAGCAACGGGAGCTTGCGGAGGTTACAGGCTGAGCAGGAATATGTGCCAGTGGACATGGTGTAGTCATGGAGCAGCCCTGCCGGGTACACTTATCCAGCCCAAGTACAGGTCTGGACAACACAGGTCTAAGAGAAGTGGGGACAGGAAATCCAGGTCTTCGTAGTAGACAAAAGCAGTTTTTGGTTCTGGTTCCCTCACTCATTAGTTGTGTGCATTTGGGGAAGTCACTCACTCTCAGGAATGTCCCCTCTGAATCTGTCCCCTTGCCTGTAAAAGGAGATAACAGCACCTACCCCATCGGTGCTGGTATAGCTGCAAAAGAAGCATCGCCACCTGCACTGTGCTTGGTGAGTGTTGGCTCTGGTCTTGAGCAGCGCCAATCTTGGGAGAAGCCCTGTGATGGGTCCTCCAGGCACCACCATGAAAACGAGCACCGAACCCCTTCTGATGGCAGGTGCTAGGCCAGGGCTCGATCTGTGGAGCCAGAGCCTGGCTCTGGTGCTCAAGCTGCCTTATCCTTGGGCAGGTTGGTCAGCTTTTACCTTTTCTCCTTCCTGAAAATGAGGATCAATAATGGTGCCAATCTCCTAGGGTTCTCGTGAGGACTGAGTTAACCCAGAGAAAGCAGCTAGGAGCATGTCCAGCACGATGTCCTCTCAGCAGTATCGGCTGTCACTCACACACACACACACACACACACACATAGCCTCAGCAGGAACTTGGAGGGAGGAGAGGAAGGCAAGTCTGGTGCACGCATGCACACATACACATGGGTACACACGCATGCTCTGCCTACTCACCCTGTTACACTCACCTTGGGTTTTTTCTTTTTCTAGATAAGAAAAGAATGGTACATGCAAAATAAGAGAAAAGCAAGTTCCCAGAATGGCCAGTGGCTCTGGGATTCTGTGTGTGTGTGTAGGGAGGGAAGGGTTCTTCCTTCTCTCCCCTCCATATCCAGAGACTGGCTGCTGCTATGGCTTTAATTATCCATTGTTATTGAATACAGTCAAGGAAAGGGACCTTCTGGCTAACTTTTTAAAGTACTTACTAAAAATTGGAAAATGGGGCCAGGTGTGGATTACACATTTGTAGGCTCAGCACTCTGGGGGCTGAGGCAGGAGGATTGCAGTTGAGTTCAAGGTAAACCTGGGTTACATAGTTAAGTTCAAAAGCAGCCTGAACTACATAGTGAAATCCTGTCTCAAAAAAAAGTCAAAAAAACTGTCAATGAGTCTTTGGTTGACCAGTATTGCATGTCTATATCTGTTTTCATGAGAAGCCACTTTGAAGATATCAATATGTAATACAACCACCATTGTTAATTCCCTACCACTTTGTTTGTAACTCTGTATTGTCTGTATTGTGCTTGTGATATGTTGTAAAATGTTGTATGTCTGTTAATGTTTCCCTCCTTTTATCCTTAAAATAAAAAAAAAAAAAAAAAAAAAAAAAAAAGTCAAAAATATGGCTCACTCAACCTGGCTTGAAAATGAGTTTATCTTATAGAATTTTTTTGTTTGTTTGTTTTTGTTTTTTTTTTTGGTTTTTCTCCGGTACCGGGAACCAAACTCACGACCTTGCACTTGCCAGGCAGGTGCTTTTGCCGCTGAGCTAAGTCCCCAGCCCCTTATAGACTTTTTTAAAAAATTTTTGAGCAAACATTTAAAATATGGAGACTTAAGGTGGAAACCAAGGTTTGGAGCTCTTTTTATAAAATTAGAAACCCCTCAGCTGAGCTGCGGGTGTCACCACTTCCCACCCTCAGAATGCCACAGAGGCTGCCACTCCGGTTGTCCCTCCAACGCAGAAGCCAAGTGTCACCAGAGAACTGTAGATAAGTATGGCAGCATGAACACCAGCACCCCTACACCTTCCCGATTGCTCAGGTAGGTACCATACTGGCTCCCATTAGATTTTGTGTGTGTGTGTATGTTTTTGAGGCAGGGTCTCCCTATGCAGTTCGGGCTGGCCTTGAGCTTGCTTTGTCGCCAGGCGGGTCTCAAGCTCACAACAAGCCTCCTGCCTCAGCCTCCCGAGTGCTGGGATTACAGGTATGCGCCACCATGCCCAGCTCCCATTAGATTTCGAGTGTGCAACTCCTGATAAATACTGTACACTGGTCAGCAGTGTCCAAAGGGGAGAATAGAGCCAAATGCATGTAACACTGAAACCAAACATCTGCCCTGGTTCCGAAGGCATTTGGAGATGTCACTGGCATAGGCTAGGGCTATCCACCTGGAATACAGTTCAGTGGGACGACTGTCTTCCCTGAGCACAGGGGACTGTTTACTAATCAGGCCCCAAAGCCCAAGGGAGATACATGACCCCTCAATACAGAGACCCCAGGGAACCCCAGCCCTGTGCTGCTGACCTTGGGATCCTCAGCTCTGGAGCTGGCACCAGCATGGAGGTGAACTCAGACTCTGGACGTGAGTTCCAGCCCTACCTGCGACTTACTAGCCCCGTGAACACAAGTCATTTAACCCTACCGGGTCTCTGCTCCCTTGCTTGAAAGGCAGGGAGGATAACCTTCTTTATTTCTCAGAAAACAATCTCGAAAGGATCCAGTGAGATAACACATGTAGAAAGTAACTTGCAAGTGGTAAAATGTGGGTCGTAATTTCTACTTGAGTGTCCGCACTGTGCCGAACATTTCACACATAGTCTTACTAAGTCAACATTTACAGTGGGACTATAATGCATGCCTTGTTGCCGGGGGCTCTGGACCACAGGTGGTACATGCGTGACTGTCCCATTGGGTGGCATAGGACAGTCCCATCAGTTAGTACAAACTGCCCAATGGGACAATTATGCATGTACTGACAGTAGTGCAAGCTGGCTGGTACATGTTAAACTCCACAAAACGGCCAGGGATGTAGCTCAGCGGCACAGCATCTTCCTGGCAAGTGCAAGGCCCTGAGTTCAATTCCCAGTACAAAAAAAATTTAAACTCCACAAAGCACTGCCAGGCCCATTATTCCCATTCTACAGAATAGAAAACTGAGTCAGAAGGGTTATATAACTCATCCAGGCCACCAGCTGGTAGCAGGCTCTGACACCGGGTGCACAGCCAGCATGCTTCCTTTTCTGTGCAAGAGAAATCCACTGTTGTCCAACCTCATAATGTTAGCTGTTGCTCTTGTCATCGCCCCTTTCTCTGGCCTTGTTCCCTTCTAACTGTTCAGACTGCTTTCCCCCTCTGCCATACTTCTCAGTTCCTGAACCGACTAAATGGTCCTAAGACCGTCAGACCCATTACTGTCGGCCACACCAAGCAGAAGCTATAGTGACATGGCATAACTGTCCCACACCCCCAACTCGCGTCTCCCCCTGCCCGTACCCACTCTCCTCCCGCCACCACCGTCAGCCCCCTGCAGGGCTTGGAAAGTGACCCTCTGGACCTTTGCACATGTAAGAAACAAACTACTCACCACTGGTCGATCCACAGAGATTGTATTTTCAACTTCCCTGTGAAAAACACAAATGTGGGTGTCTCAGGGTCACCAGGAGCAAACGAAACACATGGAGAATTTTCTCAAATCACATGGCTTTCTGGTGCCCAAATTGGTACTGACTTTAAGAGGACCCCAGAGACTAAACCTTCACCCCAGGCACCAGCTCTATGTGGGCAGCATCCCTAACAATCCAGCCCAGGCCCAGCAGCTACCCACGGACCTTGTGCTTCTTCTGGAAACTGGGACATTTGTGATGGCCAAGTCTAGGATATGGACTTGCTGGCTTCCCTGGCTATACTAACCTAAAATTTTAATCACACCCACCTGTATGGAACTATAACTCTTCCCTATTTTATTTTCACTTTTTCATTCCTTCTCCGAATCTAGCATACTAATATATATATATATATATATATATATATATTCCCCCCCCATCATTGTCTCACTCTAGAGCAGCAATGGCAAACTTTTAGAGACTGCAACCCAAAACTTATTTATCACAAAGTGCCAACCCTGGAACTAAACCTGCATCCTGAAATTTCAGATTAGAAAAAATAACTCATACATTAACATATTTTGTCTTAAAAGAAGAAGAACACATGCACCCTAGATTCACCACCATTGCCCTAAGTGTTAGGCTTTATGAGGCAGAGATTTCTTTCTGTTTAACTTCTGTATCCCCAGGGCCTAGAAGAGTGCCTGGGACACAGTAGGTGCTCCATAAATGTCTGTGAGATGAATGAATCAGTGATAGGAAGATGGGCAGTAGATAGGGAAGAGGTGCAGACTGGTCACCATATCCCAGGAAGCTGAAGGAAACCACTCCAGCTACTTCCTGCCTCCAATCTCTACAACAGGTCACGTGCGCTTCTAGGGACAGGTGGGGAAAACCAGGCGGGACTCACTCAGAGAGATTCCTCTTTTCAGAGAAGACCCGGAGGATGAATTCCCCTTCCTGGTGGGGCTCGTAGGTGGAGGGCACGATGACGTACTCACTGGGAGGCAGGCGGAAGCGCTGGGATACCTCCCGCATGTTGATGTAGGTTTTGCTCCTGGCCCTGGAAGCATTGTACAGGAAGAAGTCCTTCTGCAGGTGCTGCTTGTTCCCGTGCATCTGGGGACAGAGGAGCCCATGGGACCTGAAGCCCTGGGAGGGTTGCCCTGTCCTGCTCACAGCCCTTCCAGTGAGCGGTCCCTTCCTTAGTCTGGGCACCCATTTCACAGTCTGATCCACCTACTGCCAGTCCAACGGCCTCAACTAGCTCAGCATCCCAGAGCTCCCTACCTCCCTTCCTCTGCCTTTCTGCTGAGATTCCGAGGTGAAGGTCAAGTCCACTGCCCCATAGACAAGGCCACTTACCAGGTCAGCTGCTCGTCCCCTGCGTCCCCTCAGGCTGGGAAGGCCCTCAAGGCTGGGTTCTGGGGGAGGGGATTCCTCCTCCCTGAAGAGGGCAGCCCCCCTCGGAATGCGTGTGTGAGTGTGTAAGTTCGTGAGTGTGAAAGAGTGTGTGAAGGGGTTGTGTGAGGGCGGTGTCCAGTGAAAGGATGAAAGTATACATTGCGCCACAGTGCTGCCCACAAACCCCACAAGAAGCTCCTCGCAAGCCACAGACAGACTCGGGACCCCAGTGAACGCCGCACACAACTGCCGTTGCCACCACTGCTATACCTCTTTGGGAACCTTGGAGAGAAACAGAAGAAGAAGCAGCCTCAGATCTGAACAAAGGGAAGCACAGCAACTGTAGAATGGTACGGACTCTGACTCCCCCTGTGCCTGCCCTGCCAGCCTGGCCTCCCTCCACTGTATCCCTGGCGTTTTCTGCTTCTTACGGACACAAGTGAGCCTGAGAGCAGCAGCCCTGGGGAAGCTCCCGAGCCCCGCTTCCGTGAAGGTGATGTCTCCTGCGCCGGAGGCTGCTGGGGCCCACACACCTCATAGATGGCGAAGCCAATGGTGAAGAGGTTGGCGCCCAGCTTCCGATCCTTCCGCCGGTTCTTCTGCATCAGGGCCACCAGGAAGCTGCAGATGACCTCGGAGTCATCAGGGTCATCGTCCTCCTCCAGGAGCTTCAGACGGTACTGGGGGTTGGTCCAGAAAGTATCTGTGCCCCCCAGGAAGGAAATACAGGTTCAGAGCTCCCTCTTGCAGAAAGGGTGGGAAGGAAATGAGAGAGGGCTCCTTCATCGCTGTCCCCTATGGGATGGTTAATTTAGGAGTCAGTCTGCCTGGATTAACGGCCAGGGGACTGCTGTGTCTGTGAGCGTGTTTCCGGAGGACAGCCGCCTGTGAATTGGGGGACTGAAGGGGAAGATCCACTGATGGGGGCTCACATAGAACAAAAGGCAAGAAAAGAATTTCCCCTCTTGTGCTGTGGTGCTCTATGTCTGTGATCCCAGCACTTGGGAAGCTGAGGTGGGAGAATGGCTAAAAGTTCAAGGCTAACCTAGGCTAACAGTGAGTTCAAGGCCAGCCTGGACTACATAGTGAAACCCATTTTCCCTCTCTCTCCTGGAGCTGGGACATTCTTCTGCCACTGGACATCAGAACTCCAGGATTTCTGGCATTTGGATTCCAGGACATGCACCATACCCTGTCCCCAACCCCCATGTGTGCTGGTACCAGTCCTAGGGTCTCCAGCTTCCCCATGGCCTGTCTTGGGACTCAGACAGGATCATGTGAGCCAGTTTCCCCTAATGAATCCCCTCTGTTCACCAGTCCTATTGGTTCTGCCTTTCTGGTGAACCCCAGCTAATACTAGGTGCTCAATAAATGCTTATGGGAAAAATAAGTCAGTTATCTGTCCAATTATTTGGTGGGTGGAGCCTCTACCTTACGCAGATGGAGCTGTTTGGGTTGGATGTGTAGGTCTTCCTTCCTTCTCTGAACTTTCATTCTAGGCTTTACTGACAACTTTACTTGCCCCAAAATGTTGTGGGTCTCTGGGATCAGGTCTTAAGTCTCTCTTCTGCTCCCCATCACATTGCCTGTCTCCTCAGACAATCTTACTTAACTGTACATTTTCTTTTTTGGTATCAGGAATCAAACTCAGGACCTTGCACTTGCCAGGTGATCTACAGTTGATCTACAGTGATCTACAGTGATCTACAGTGCTGTGCTGCTGAGCTATCTCCCTGGCCATAACTCCACATTTTAACTCACCCTATATAGCAACAGCCCTCAGGTACATATCCCAGCTCAGTCTCTGCTCACTCCCTCCCTCTCTTCCTTCTTCCCTCTCTTCCTTCCTTCGTTCGTTCATTCGTTCCTTCCTTCCTTCCTCCCTCCCTCCCTCCCTCCTTGACCCCTCCCTCACTTCCTTCTTTCTCCTTTACTTTCTTCCTCAAACACTTACTGAGTTTGTATCATATAACCAAACACCTTCCTAATGTGTGCATCTAATTCTATATTACAAACACCACAGCAGTTTTCTTCCTCCACATTTCTCATCTTGCAATACTGATGCCACCTGCTTGGGTCCCTACGCCAGGAATGCCAGGAATCTTGACATCCGTCTTCATTCTCGAAGATCTGCTTGCTCCCCACCCCATCTCCACAGCTGCAGACCTGGTCTCAGCTTTCAGCACTCCAACCTGAGCGACTCCTCCAGGACTATGTTGAACACAAGGGACCCACGAGATACTGTTCTGACAGTTTCCTGCCTCAACATTTTGACAGCTCCCTGTTGCAAGATCCTCAGTGTGGCAGCCTCTCAGTAAAATGGGAGGATTTAGTGAGACAGTGGTTGTCTGGAGCTTGGCAGAGACTCCATGCGTGACTGTGAATATTATTCTACCTGGGACCCAGGCTGCGCAGACCCTTCCCCCTCGGAGAGCATCTCCCACCTGGGAAGTTGCGGCAGCCTCCGGCAGAGCAGCCCCTCACCCAGCGGCCCTCGTTCACCGACACCGTCCACGTCTGCAGCTTGTCAGATTCCAGGGCATCCGCAGTCAGGTTGCAGATCTCCAGCTTTGTGAAGTGGTAGATGAAGTCGTCATATGACATCCTGAGGAGGGCAGGGGAGCGAGCCACAGGGGAACAGATAAGGAGGGGCTGGGAGAGGGCAGATCCCAGGGCCAACTCAGCCCAAGGAATGAGCTCAGAGAAGCTTGGTTAAGGTCCCAGCAGGTCTTTCCCTTGTAAGTGGCACAGACACCCTTGGTTCAACACATCTGCCCCAACTATTACCCAGCCTTGTAGTAATGACTTAGAATCGTATGTCCTTGATGGGGCAGCTTGACAGAAATTCAGTTCTCCAAAAAGTTGGAGGAGCAGTCATTTGGGAAAAACCATCAAATGAGTGATTTACAGAGTGACAAGCAGCACAAATGAACCTTGAGAGTCCTGAAGTTGCCTTCAGTCTGAGACTGGAAGCCTGCGTAGGGAAGCCCTGAGTGAGGCTGAGGGCGGTTTTGGGGGATCTGCGTGTCCTCAGCTCAGAAGGGAGCTATATTAGGCCAGCAGCAAGTGGCCGGAACAAGAGCTGCCTCATGCTGCCCTGGTCCTCACTGTGACCTAACACTCTCCCGTCTCTGGCTGGAGGAAGACAGGCCCAGATCTCCCAAGGGCTGGACTCTGGCAGCCTCTGGCTAGGGACGGACGCTGGAGACTTCACCTCCCTGCCGCATCCCTCACCCTTCTGGGTCCTCCTGGATCTGGGACTCACCAGAACTCTCCATCCTCAGTGACCTGGTGCTGCAGACGGGCCTTCTCATCTTTGTCCACAAAGCTCCAGTCCTTCCAGCTGGTGGGAAATGGGGGGTTATGGAGGGAGGAGGGGAAGGTGGTATGTGGGGTGGGACAGGAGCTGTCAGAGAGATGTGGAGCTGAAGAAATAGCCCATCTCAACTGCAGCCCGTATGAGCTCCAAAGTGTTGGTCTGACCTGTTACCCTCAGCGAAAAACCTTGTAGTTGCTTCCCGTGGGCCTTTTAACATGCCGGGGCCTCTGGTCTAGTCCTTTCAGTGACAAGCGGTGCATTTCTTTCCAAGGCCCCGTGTGCCTTTGTATGGGGACAGGAAGGAGAGGGAATCTCAGCACCAGCCAAGCACTTTCCAAAAGCAGTGCCATCTCCTCACAACAGCTCACACTGTCCGTGCTAATATTGTTCCGCTTTCCAGATAAGGTGAAGAGATGCCAAGCAGGGAAGTTGCCTGTGCAGTCCAGACCCTGAGACTCTGCATTAAGACTCTGCTCGTGCCTGGGCCTCATCTCAGCTTTCCGGAGTCCCTGCCCTCTAGCCTATGACTGTCTGCAGCTCCTCGGGATCCCTGGCTCTCCCACTCCCGGACTCTTCTCCTCTGTAGGTTGTCGTGGGTTTGAAGGGGATTTTACACCTTCACCGGTGTTTGCTCTCACCCATGGCTTCCCATACCCGTCACTCCAAGAGCCGTTCCACTCCACCTGGCCCCAGGGGTTCCGCAGCCGCACCAGCTTCACTTTCTCACCTTTAAACAGGGCCTGGGGCAGAAGGAAAGAAGCTTTCCCAGCCTGTCTGCAAAGGGGGCTCCTGTCTCGCCTGAGGGCCGGGAGGGGGTGGGGAGAGAGCCCGTTAGGGGAGCTGTCCTGCTTGGCCAGCCCAGGAGACAATCGGAAGCTCCCTGAGGATGGTCGGGTGAGAGGTCACAGGCTTAGGACTGAGTCAGAAGGGCCCAAGGCCTGGCTGTCACCTGCTATCTTCTAAGAGGTGATTTTCCTGGAGAACTTGACAGTCACTGTGAGCTTTGGGGGAGGCAGGAGAGGAGGTGGATACAGCAGACGCTGTTGGCACATCTGGTGTCTGTGTGACTCTTTTAAAAGGCCTCTACTGGCTGACGAGCCACAGACAAAAGCCCCTGCTAGATGGGCCAATTAGAAAAGGTGCCCCTTCCCTCCAGTCTGCTGGAATGGGTTGATATCCTTTCTGCCCATCCCTTTGTTCAGGGCACAACCTGCCCAACTGTGTGCCACACTCAGCCAGAGAAGCCCATTGTCCCAGAGGGAGCAGAGCGTTGTAACTGCGTGAACCTGAGCGGGCAGAACGCCAGAACACAGGAGACCCCCTTTGTGGAACAAAAGCAACATTTCTGTTTGTTTCTTGGAAATATTGGGGAAATTGCTATTTTTAGCCCTAAAAGCAAAGATAAAGTGAGCACTGGCAAAGCCGGTGGCAAAGCCGGTCTCTAGCAGGTCCCACGGGCCCCTCCCTGCTTGGGCACTGTGCTTGGACCTTGAGCAGAATCCCCAGATTGGTGGCAAGCTCCACAGCCCATGAGGGGTGCAGAAAGCTAAATCCTGACTCCAGAAAGTCAACCCATGTGGTCCCCGTGTACCACCTGGGCCCTCAGGCTCACCTCCTCCAGTCCAGTGACAGAATAGGCATGCCCTTTGACCAGCCCGCAGGCCATTCGTGTCTCATACTGAACCGGAACAATTGTCTGTGGAGCAACAACCAGATAGTGGGTCAGGAGTTGGGGAGCAGAGGTTCTGCTGCCTGGAGACCAAGTTCTTATGGGCTCACTTTCTGGGTTCTGTGAGGACAGGCCCTACTCTGCTCCCTGAGAGTACCTCATGACCACAGCAGGCCCTCGCTGGCCCTTTAAGAGCATCGAGAAGATGTAGCTGGTCACTGGGAAGGCTCTGTCCTGGCGCACTGGTGATAAGGAAGAACCTGGGATGTGAGGGGGGTGACAGCTTCCCTTAGGGTCCTTCACAGGGGGCAGGGGGTTGGCTGGGCTTCCCAGACTTGTGCCATTCTGGTTACATCCTTGAACTCTTGCACACCCACTGAGAACATGATATTCAAGAAATCGAGAATCACTGCACCCAGGGAAGGAACTGCCAGGGATCCCTGCCCAGACACGGCTGCGCTTAAGAGTGAAGGGTGGCCCTTGCACAGGCAGAAAGGCCCACGTCGCAGGCACAAGGGATCCTGGGCAGAAGGGTAGTGTCGCAGAGCTCAACGGGGCTAGACAGGCTGTCCAGGGGGTTAGTAGCAGCCTGGTAACACAACGGCTCTAAGGAGCGCTTCCCAGAGCCACGTGGAACTTTGGAGTTCTTGGAGCCTTTTTCAGGGTGATTGGCATAGGTAGGTTAGGGTTTTTGACATCTTAGCTCCTCCTGGATCTCAATCCTCCTGACACACACCAGGCTGACAGAAAGGGTCGGGGCAGGACAGGTGCCCATCCACACTTGCACACTTGGAGAGCTGCTCAAAATGACTCTTGATATCACGTAAGAGTCTCATTCAACTAGGAATTCTACTACTGGGAATCTGGCCTATGACACCATTGGGGACACAAACAAACATGCATCTATTGCCATGTTCATTAGAGCCAAAAAAGGAAAAAACCTTTAAGTTTCCAGTAATAGGGTATTGGGTAAGCAAATTACAACATACCTGCCTGTTAGAAGATTGTGCAACTGAAAATGCTATATGGGAATATTTATTAGCTGTTAATTTCCTATCATCTTATTTTGAAATTCTGTATTTTTATTGTCTTTTGTTGTTTTGTTTTTGTTTTTTGGGGGGGGGCGTTAAATTCTCTTTCAAATAAAAAAATGCCTGAACATTAAAAAAATTTATTAGCATAATGAGAATATAAACTAACTGAAAAACTGCAAAGAGGTAATACAATATGACAAGGTTTTTAAAATTAAAATATATATTAAGTGTGGGACATGGAAAAATCCTGGAATAGTATATACCAAATGTTAAGAGTGATTATCTTGGAGGGAGAAAATATAGGTTAAGTTTTCCTCTGTGTTTTTCTGTGAAACGCAATGCATGGCTTCCGAAAGTACTGCAGCCCTCTTCAAAGGCTCCTTTGCTTTCTTCACTGGAAGAGTGAACCAGGGGGCGGGAAGTCACAGTGTTGCACTGGCTGCCGAGGGGCAGCCGGCAGCAGCGGGGAGGGGTCCTGCCAGCTGGAGGTACACACCCGCGATGGTCTGTCATCTGAGCCTCTGGGGATGAGGTCTGAGTCCCTGAGCAGCGAGTTATCCATGTTCCTCACCATCCGTTTAATCAACTCCCCCATGTTGAGACCGGAAGGAGAGGTTCCATAGGTCATGTTTGTGCCATCCTGAGGCCCGACAGGGAGGGTGGAGGACAACCCAGGAGAGGGAGAGAGAGCAAACAAAGGCGGGGAAGGGAAGGAGACAGAAAGAAGGGAAGGGGCAGAAAAGGAAAAGAGGAGAGATTAATAGAACATGAATGGAGAGAAGATGGAGAAAAGTGACACAGAAAGAAAATGTTCACCCAAGGTGTTTTAGGCTGACTGACCTTCCCCGGCTTTCTGTGCGCGGGGCGTGTAGGGAGAGAAAGGGGCAGGAATGAGTTGGGCCCTCCCGCTCGCATGGAAATCACCAAGATGGCTGACACGCAGGGACGAGGGAAGGTGCCTCTCCGGACACTGAGCAGGCCTGGCGTCCGTGGCCTAGTGTCTCCTTGCCCACAGTTCCCATCTCCCTGTGCTTGGCTGTGTTGCCCTGAGTGTGGACTGTGGGCTGATCTTTCCCTCAACACAGAGCCTGGGTCCCAGGCAGGCAATGGGGCCAAAGCTCAATGATGCGGACACTTTGTTAGGGAAATGGTGGGCTCAGGTCCAAAGCTAAGTATGTGGCTAGCTTCTGGGGACACGCGTAGAGCAGGCAGTCCAGACAAGAGAGAGGCCCCCTCTGACATAGGGCTCAGGACCCGAGTCCACCTAAATTCCAGGACTGGGACATCCTTGCCCAGTCACTCTACTGGAAATCCCCAGGAACACTTGAAAAACTCCCATTTTTCAACATCAAGAATCAGTTCCTCTTAAAACAAAATATTCACCCTGTCCCCGAAGACTGTGCTGCCATTAGCTGAGAGAATGGCTCCTGCCCTGTGGCCCTTCCCCCAACTTACATCAATCGAGCAGCCCATGAGGGAGCCTCTCTCGATGGCTTTCCTCATGATCTTGTACATGTCTCGCGGAGCATCCTTGATCTCAAAAAACTCCGTCACCCCTCCTGTGAAGTCCTCCATGGCCTCTGTGGTGTTCCCACCTTTCAGGGCTTCGTAGGAACCATGGAGCCTTGGGGAAAAGATGAAGACCAACCTGGGGCCACATGGTTCCAGGACAGATGCCCAGGTACCCCGGCCCAGAACTTTGCTCAGGTCCTATGATGTTTTCTCAACAATTCCCGATCAGATGAGCTAATGAGACAGCTGGTTGCTGTGATTCCTGTTCTTCCCAGTGACAGAGCTCAAGAGGCCCAGTGACCCACCCTAGGCCACAGAGGGCCAGAAGCATTGGCACTGGAGCCCAGCTATCCCACTTCCTGGCAGCCCTTTCAGCTGAAGTGAGCTTCTCAGCCAAGAGATGACAGTATGAGTTTGAGCCAAGCGAGATCATGGGATCTGAGCTCTGGAAATTCAGTGCTCTGATCCAAGGCTTGCAAAACCACCAGTCAGAATTAAAGAGCTCACTATGGGAAGTCAAAGTTAAAGACTCTTTTTCTTTTTCTTTCTTTCTTTCTTTCTTTCTTTCTTTCTTTCTTTCTTTCTTTCTTTCTTTCTTTCTTTCTTTCTTTCTTCTTTCTCTCTCTCTCCCTCTTTCTTCTTTCTTTCTTTCTTTCTTTCTTTCTTTCTTTCTTTCTTTCTTTCTTTCTTTCTCTCTTTCCTTTCTCTCCTTTCTCTCCTTTCTTTCCTTCTTTCCTTCCTTTTACTGAGGTGGGATATCACCATTATACCTGGGCTAGCCTTGAACTTGCAATCCTCCTGTCAGCCTCCTGAGTCGCTGGGATTACAGGTGTGAGCCACCAAGCCCAGTTTCTCCATTCTTCTCCATTTCTTCTCTTAAACTTAGTGCTTTTAGTTAGCACTATTGCTGCCTAATCCATTCTACTCTGACTCTGGGTCACAGTTGAATTCCCCCAGCACATGTGAGAGTGTACACACACACACACACACACACACACACACACACGCATCCTGCTGGATTCTGCAACCCTTTCCTTACAGCCCACCTGTTTCACACTCTAGTGTCATCTTACTTAGCATAAGCCTTCTCCAGCAGAGCACTCCAGAACTCATTGCGGTGGTTGGATTTGGTGAAGACCAGCTGATTGTTGTATGTAGGCAGACAGTCATCAATAACCACATCCACCCAGTCTCCATAGCGCCAGAACTGCACAGACACATGAAAGCAGAGTCATCCTCCGATTACCACTAGGAAACACACCTTTCCTCGCACTTTCCACTAGGAGCTCGTCCATCCCAAAGCAGTTCTGTTTCCTAGGTCCAGCTTATTGGTGCTGGCTCATGTTCTGGGACATGTGACATGGGACTCTGTCTCTATCTGGACTGTGAACTTCTTGAGGGCAGGGACTGAGTTACCTACTGCTTAGTCTTCCACAAAGTCCAGTTCAGAATTGAGAGTGGCAGGTGCTCCCTCAGTGTGTTAGGGCTTTAGATTTTCATTGCCCTGCCTGGGAGATCTGGAGCAGGGCCTGCATATTAGCATTTTGTGTTCAGGAAGATTCTACTATGCAGCAAGGCCTGAGAGCTCCTGGCCTTGTGAGGTCATAGTATCGGTTTAAGTATTTCTTGATGACAAGAGTGTCCCAGAAAACACCTGATTCCCACTTTCATTCTGGTCCAGCACCAGCATTTGGCTCTGTGCCAAAATTATTTGAACCCAAAAAAGTTGTAATGAAACTAGTGCCAGGAATCTTAGTTCCAGGCCAAGGCAGGAGCCTGATCTTCAAATCCTCACTGAGGTGGGATAGGGGCCACCTAGAATTTTCTTTAACTAGAATTTTCTTCCAAGGCCTGGAAGAGGCAAGCATAGACCTACTATGGAACTGCCTGTGGCAAGAAGGAAAAGGAGCCGTAGTAGTTCCTGGATCAGGGGTCCCATAGTACAGCCCAAGGGGCCCTATGCTCTATGGAGGGAGTTACTTGCGAAGGGCTGCAGGCAATAACACAGCAGCCAGCTGGAAGGCAAAAACAGAGCTGCAGGCTAGCAAACAGGATGTCTTCCTGACTTCCGGGGGCCAAGTGGAAGCTGTGTGGGGTTGGGGGGTCACAGATAAACAACTGCTTCCTCCCTCCTAGCCTTGCAATATCAAGGGGTTGCTGCCCTCTGTTGCAGCTGGGGTGTGGGGGGGTGGAGCCTTCCCTAGAGCTTTGGGAAGTCAAGGCCAAGAGAAGTGTGGTGGGAGTCTGTAGTTGGCACCCTTAGCCACGTGCCCATCACCTCACCTGGAAGTGGAAGATCCCCGCATAGTTGTCAGTGAAACTTTGGTCATGGGGGATAACTCGGAAAAGCAGCCGCTCGTTCAGGGTCAGGCAGGCGATGGCTGCGAGAAACCAGCAGTCCCCTGCAAGCAAACACACAGTGGGTTTCGTGGGTCTGTCCCTCAGCCAGCTGCTCTTGTCGCTGAGGACCGGGGATTCTCTTAATGCCCGTCTTGCTTCCAGATCAGACCTTACAGACGCATCAGCCCAGCAAGGAGATTTCACAGGAATCCTTGACAGTGGAACCCACCGGGGCCCTTCCTCCCTCAAACCCTGGACGTTTTGCTAAGGGCTTTGCCAGAGGAACTCACTTCAATTTTGGGCCTCAGCGGGAAAGAGCAGTAGGTGATCATAACTGGATTGTTCTTTCTAACACCGTCAGGAAATCCACGTGCCCTGTGCCTTTCGGTGCAAGTTTGCTCTCCCTTCTGACCCTGGCAAAGCCCATCCATCGTCCTGTCACTGGATTTGTAGCTAAGGGAAGCCAGTTAGATAGCTGCTCTTGGACCGGTATATGGGAACCCAGGGAAGCGGCTGGCAATGGGATGAGACGGGGACATTTTCTTCTTCGCTTTTTCTGCCTCCTGTTGAACTGATTTGAGGGGAAGTCAGGGAGGACCAGCTGCCCAGGCATGTCATCAGCTCCAGCTGGGGCAAGGACCTGGCCAGACGCCTTCTCCTTAGCCTGTCCTGCAGCTGGATCAACTGCATTCTTTTCACTCTGTTTTGGGTGCCCTGTGCCTTCTGTTTTAATTGGGTCCCGGACTTTCTGACTGTACTACACAGAGCATGTCTGCAGTCACACAGACAGTACTTCCAGGACAAGGGACTGAGAGAGGGGAAAGTTGGGACGGGACAGCCACGCCATCAGGCAAACAGAACACTGGCTGCTCCTCTACAGGCAAATGCCGTCCTTGTTGAAAGACTTTTTTGATCTGGAGCTGTTCTGGGGCTTAAATTAAACAACAGTCCCAGGGCTCTTTTTGGCACTGCATTTTTTGTGAATATATAGATTCTTCACGCCTAAAGGACACGCTTCTCACACAGGCACAGAACTGTCTTATTAGAGCGCAACTAAAAGTCGTGTCGAGGGGCTTTAGTCTAGAAGGGCTGAGCCCATGCTGCAACGCAGGCCCAAGACCCGCTTTTGTGTCCTCTAAAAACAACACAAGAAGTCGTGGTGAAAACTGAACATGATGATGCAGGCTGGGAATCCCAGCACTGTGAGAGGCAGAGGCGGGAGAGCTGTAAGTTTGAGCCCAGCCTGGGGAATTTAACAAGACCATATCTCACAAATTTAAAAATTTTAAAAGGCCTGGGGAGCCGGACGTGGTGGCACATGCCTGTAATCCCAGCACTCAGGAGGCTGAGGCAGGAGGATCGTTGCGAGTTCGAAGCCAGCCTGGGCTACAAAGTGAGCTCAAGGCCAGCCTGAGCTGCATAGTGAGACCCTGTCTCAAAAAGACCAAAAAACCCAAAAAACTAAAAGGCCTGGGGGTGTAGCTCAGTGGGAAGGCCCTAGGTTCAATACCCAGGGTCACAATGAAAAAAAAAGTCCTGCTGAAGGTGCACTTAGTATGTGGCACCCCTCGTGTGATGCAAGGCAAAGTGCTGATAAAAACTGGGCCGGGAAACAAAGTGATTGCCAGCCAGCACACAGGGCAACAAACTGAAAGGGTACCTGCTATAAAAATCTTCCAAAAATGCATTAAAAACAAAAACAGAGTTTTGTCCCTTTACCTCCTGGAAAGGGCTTTCCCTCTCCATCACCCCTTGATCACCTGGCAGGTATGGTGAGGGGGACTTTGTTACCTAGGTCTCCTTGGCAGATGTCAGTCCTATTGGCTCCGCCAATGATAAATCGGGGATTCTCACAGATTTCCTGTGAAACAAACAAACAGAAGGTGACCAGGTTATAGTGATAGTAGCTGTTATGTGTTGAGTTCCGTTATGCAGTGTTGGCGCCATGTATCTGAAGCTCTACATGTTTCACTCCTTTCAGCCTCCAAACGCAGCCTGGGAATTGGACACTATCATTTTTGTTTTTCAGCTAAGCAAACCGAGGCTCAGAGAGGTTAAGAAACATTCCCAAGCACACACAGTAGTAAGTCGTGGGAGCCAGAAGCAGTCCTCCTTTTTGCTGTACCATGTTGCTTCCCACACGGTCACACTGAGTAAGGGGCACCTTGAGAGTCAGGGCACTGTCCCTCCTATCACAATTGGAGAGAGGAACATCAGGAAGCATGACTTTGCTTTTCCTGTGCTAGGAGAAAGGACACTAGAAGGAAAAAAGAGATCTTCCTTCCCAAGAGGAAGAGGGCAACACAGATACTTAGAGTCCGCCTGGGACTTGAGTGCTTGGCATAAGCCTCATTCACCTCCCTTGGTAGCAGGGCAGCCAGCTTTACCTGAGGCCACCCAGGAAAGCAGTTTTCAAGCCCAGGTCCATAGGGACCAACAGAGGGTGCTCTCGGTTTCCAGATATGTTATGCTTTTTTAAAAAACACTTTTATAATGATTGCAGACTCAGTGTTTTAGTTTTAACATTGTTCTTCACAGGCTCAAGAAGCTTTGCAGCTGGGTATGGTGGCGCATGCCTATAAGCCCAGCACTCTAGAGGCTGAGGAAGGAGGAGCCCAAGTTCCAGCCTACCCTGGACAATTTAATGAGACTCTGTCTCAAAATAAAAAATAAAAAAAGAACTGGGGGGTGTGACTCAGTGTGAAAGCCCGGGGTTCAATCCCCATTACCAAAAAAAGAAAAAAAAGAGAGAGAGAAAAAGCCTTGCTATTCCAATGAAATGGCGCCCCCTTCACCATGACAACCCAGTATATGCAAATATGCTAAAACCCCTGCGCTCAGGGGTGTCTCATCTTCCTAGAGGAAAAGGCTCACTTATCCTACACCACAACTTCCCTCTTACTCCATTAAAAACTCTGAATGCAGTGGAAGGATAGATGAATAACTTTTTACTTTATTTATTTATTTTTGCAGTGCCTTCCCATCCAGGTAATTGCTCTACCACCGAAATACATCCCCAGCCCTTTTCTTTTTTTTTTTTTTTTTAAACAGTGTTTCCTTGGTTCACAAACTCAATTCTCTCCATGATTCTGGTCACAAACTGAACTGGACTAGAACCAAATCAGATTTCTTCAGAAGGTCAACATTGCACCTAACTATTGAATTTGATTTGGTTCTTGCCCAACTTGAAATCATAGAAAGAATCAAATTCATGAACCAAGGTACCACTGTATTTTAAGACAGGTCCTGCTAAGTTCCCAGCCTGGCCCAGAGTTTTCGGTCCTCCTGCATCCCGAGTAGCTAGGATTACAATTCTTTTTAATAAACTTCCCTATGTTGGAAGGGAGTAAAAAGATAGAAGTAATAGGGATAGAAATAAAACTCTGAATATCAGTGTTTGAAAATAGTTTATACATAAAATCCACATAAAGTTTTACACAGTTAAAAATTAGAATTAAAGAAAAAATAATTTAAGAGCAGTCTGTAAAAGCTGAAAGGAAACAGAAGCAAGAAATCTAAGTGCATATCAAGTTGGTGACATACACACACATAAAAAGTTCTTTCAAGTGACTAAAAATGTTATTTTTGGCCACTGATCCCTTTTGGGATACATCTTAAAAACAAAACCCCTAAACCATAAAGAAATAAGAACCATAACAAATAATAATATTGTTTCAAAACTTAGGTGTGCAGTAGGAAAAGTAAATAAGAACTTATCGTGAAGTCATTAGGAGCTAATTTTTTGCTCCTAATAAAGAGAAAATATGTAAACTTACAAAATAATTGCAATAACAACCTGTAATGTTAAAGTTGAATTGGATATGCAGCTCATAATTTATTTTTGTCTCTTTGAAATAATTTTTTGTCCCTCTACTCTAAAACAATCAAACAAAAACAAAAGTAGAAGCAAGAACAACAAGCAGATAATAGGAGTCTCAGAAGAAAAAAGCAAAGGAATAGAATATTAAAAATTATAGTTCAAAAACTCCTCAAATGAAATAACATATTTGATACTGTACATTAAAAGGGCATAATACTACCATACGAATAACAATTCAGAATAACCCACATGAAAGTATATTTTAAAGGCTGGGGTTGTAGATTAGTAGTAGAGTGCTTGCCTAGCATCACAAGGACCTGAGTTCATTCCCCAGTACCACACACACACAAAAAAAAATTCTAAAATATTATTGGAGGCCGGGAATATGGCTCAGGGGCACAAGCACCTGGCTGGCAAGTGCAGTGTCTTAAGTTCGATTTCCATAACAAAAAATATAAACAAACAAACAAACAAATAAATAAAACATTATTGGACTTTCAAAAAAAGGAAAAAAGTTTTTTTAGACATCCAGGACAAGACAAGTAACTTCTAAGGGGAAAACATTAGTTTATCATTTTTCAATAGCAATACTTTATTCCAGAAGAAGTTTATTTCCTACTGCAATATGTTTAAGATACTCAAAGAAAGAAATTGTGAACCAAAGATTTATGAACAGCAGAACTTTCAAGTATAAAGCGTGTGCTCAACCTGTTTCCAATAATGGAAGAATTCAGGGAATGTTTCCGTGAGCTCCCCTTGGGGAATCTGCTAAAGAATGACCTCCAAACAACTCGAAGAAGAGAAGACCACCAGCCCAGGATTGGAGTAGCTCATACCTCACAGTGTAGTTACTTGCAGAATTAAAGCTAAAGGATGGTCAAAAAGGAGACTGTATCATATATAGTATTTTGCCTATGATGTTCACATAATGTACACATTTTAAAAACTGTTTTACACAACAGAAGAAAAAGCATACATTAAAATTAAACTATTTTTAGGAATTATCTTGGTAGTGATATTATTAATATTGTCATTCTGCAGCTTATTCAGACAAACAAAAGTTGAGGAAATTCATTGCCAGCAGGTTGCTGAAAGTGTTGAAAAGAAGTTCATCTGGAAGAAAAAAACGATGCAAGGAATAAACTTGGGTCTTCATAAAGAAAGAACATACAGGAAAGAATGAGTGAAAGTAAAATAAAATATTTTATTTTTTAGTCTTAAAAGATAATTTTGTTAAAAGTAACAATAAGCTGGGCATGGTGGCACACCCCTGCAACCCCAGCCCTGAGGCAGGAGGATGGCAAGTTCAAGTCTTGCCAGGGCAAATTAGTAAGACCATGTTTCAAAATAAAAAATTAAAAAGGGATGAGTACGTAACTCAATGGTGAAGCATCTTGGGTTCAATCCTCAGCGCTGGAAAAAAATTTAAAGATGAAAAAAAAAAAACAAAAACCAGAGAAGCATTATATAAGAAAAAGATCAATTCTCAAGAACACATACAATCCTAAACTCGTGTGCACTCAATAGAGTGTCAAAATATACTGGGCAAGCTGTATGATAGTGCACACCTGTGATACCAGCTAAATGGGAAGCTCAAGCAAGGGGGTCACAAGTTTAAGGCTATCCTGGGAAACTTAGTGAGACCCTGTCTGAAAATAAAAGAAAAAGGACTGGGGATTTGGTTCAGACTGCTTGCCTAGCATTCTTTGAACCCTGGGTTCAATTTGCAGACACACACAGACACACACACACACACACACACACAGGGTGATAGAACTGAAAGGAGGAAGGGACAAATCTAGTATTGTAGCTGGAGAAGCTTCATCACCCTTTTTCCTGTAGATCAATAAGGAATAAAATCAGCGAAGGTATAAATAACCTGAACAAAGCTATAGATCAACTTGATCAAATTGACATTACAGAATATTCTACCCTAAAACAGAGGAATTAACAGTCTTCTCAAAATCATTTGTAATGATCACTGGGATAGATCCCACTGTGGGCCACAAAGCACTCTTTAACAAGTGTAAAAGAGTAGAAATCATACAAAGCATGTTTTCAGAGCATAGTAGAATGAAGCTAAAAATCAATTAACAAAAAGGCAGCTGAAATTATTAGGAAATTAAACAACATTCTTCTAAATACACACAGGTCAAAGAAGAAATTTTAAAAGAAGTTAAAATATTTTGAATGAAATGAAAATAAAAATATAGCATCAAGATTTGTGGGGTGAAGCAAAAGCAATACTTAGATGGAAACTGATAGTGCTAAATATATCAGAAAAGAAGACCTGGAATCAGTAGAGACTATTCTACCTTTACACAGTAGAAAAAAAAATTTAAGGCTAAAGGAAACAAAAAAAAACCTAAAAATTAGAGCAGAAATCAATGAAATAAAAACCAAAAGTAATAGAAAGTCAATAAAAACCATAATGATTCTTTGGAAGGAACTATAAAATTTATAAACCTATAGCTATACTAAATGAGGGAAAAAACAGAAAACACAAATTACTAACATAAAAAATGGAGAGGTTATCACTGCTGATTCTGTGGTCATGAAAAGGATGATAAAGAAACGCTATAATTAGACTCTTACTCATAAATTTGATAACTTAGACAATATGGACAAATTTCTTGAAAGATACAAACTACAAAAGCTTACACAAGGAAAAATAGATAACCTGAATATGGAATACCTCTTGAAGAGGTAATGATTAACAACGCATCCAAAAGGAGAGCAGCAGACCCAGATGTTTCACTAGTAAATTCTACCAATATTCAAGGAAGAAATGGTATCACCTCTCCATAGTGTCTCCCATGAGATGGAAGCCAAGAGATCATTTCATAAATGATTCTATGAAATCAGCATGACCTTCATACCCAAGCCAGAAAAACCATGCAAGAAGGGAAAACTATGTGTGCTATGGACACACAAGAAAATCCTCAGCAAAGTATTAATAACTTAAATATAACAGTATATAAACACAATTACACCATGTAAGTAGTTTATGCCAGTTACACATGGTGGATTTAGCACTCAAA